GAGGAGCTTTATAACCACCTCAGTGACCTCAGCACCAGAGATTTGAGAGGTCAATCCAAAGTCCCCAGACTCTGCTTCCTCACTGGAAGATGTGTCGGTGGGATTGAGGAGGTCTTCGAAGTATTCTGCCCACCGATCTACAACGTCCTGAGTAGAGGTCAGCAGTACACTGTCCCCACTATAGATAGTGTTGGTAGAGCACTGCTTCCCCCCCTCAGGTGCCGGATGGTGGACCAGAATCTCCTCGAAGCCGTACAGAAGTCTTGCTCCATGGTCTCACCAAACTCCTCCCATGCCCGAGTTGTTGCCTTGGTGACCACCTGAGCCGCGTTCCGCTTGGACTGCCAATATCCGTCAGCTGCTTCTGGAGTCTCACAGGTCAAAAAAACCTGATAGGACTCTTTCTTCAGCTTGACAGCATCCCTAACCGTCGGTGTCCACCAGCGGGTTCAGGGGTTGCCACCAAGACAGGCACCGACGATCCTGTGACCACAGCTCCAGTCGGCCCCCTCAACAATGGAGGCACGGAACAGGGTCCATTCAGACTCAATGTCCCCTGCCTCCCCCGGAACATTTTGGAAGTTCTGTCAGAGGTGGGAATTGAAGCTCCTTCTGACAGGAAACTCTGCCAGACATTCCCAGCAGACACTTGCAATACGTTTGGGCCTGCCTGGTCTGACCGGCATCCACCCCCACCACCTGAGCCAACTCACCACCAGGTAGTGGTCAGTTGACAGCTCCGTCCCTCTCTTCACCCGTGTGTCCAAGATATGCGGCTGCAGGTCAGATGAAACAACAACAAAGTCGATCATCGAGCTGCGGCCTAAGGTATCCTGGTGCCAAGAGCACATATGGACACCTTTATGTCTGAACATGGTGTTCATTATGGACAATCCATGACTGGCACAGAAGTCCAAAAACAAGACACCACTCGAATTCAGATCAGGGGGCCGTTCCTCCCAACCACACCTCTCCAGGTCTCACTGTCGTTGTTCACGTGAGCGTTAAAGTCCCCCAGCAGAACGAGGGAGTCACCGGAAGGAGCGCTTTCCAGCACCCCCTCCAAGGTCTCCAAAAATGGTGGGTAGTCTGAACTGTAGCTTGGTGCATAAGCACAGACCACAGTCAGAACCCGTCCCCCCACACGTAGGCGGAGGGAGGCTACCCTCTCATTCACAGGGGTAAACCCCAACGTATAGGCACCAAGATTGGGGGCAACTAATATGCCCACCCCTGCTCGGCGCCTCTCAGTGGGAGCAACTCCAGAGTGGTAGAAAGTCCAACCCCTCTCAAGGAAACTGGTTCCAGAACAAGAGCCATGCGTTGAGGTGAGTCCGACTGTATCTAGTCGGAACCTCTCAACCTCACACACCAACTCAGGCTCCTTCCCCACCAGAGAGGTGACATTCCATGTGCCAAGAGCCAGCTTCTGTAGCCGAGGATCAGACCGCCAAGGTCCCCGCCCTCGACTACCACCCGTTACACACTGCACCCGACCCCTTTGGCCCCTCCCATGAGTGGTGAGCCCATGGGAAGGGGGACCCACGTTTCCTCTTCTGGCTGTGCCCGGCTTGGCTCCATGGGTGAAAGCCCGGCCACCAGGTGCTTGCCAACATGCCCCACCTCCAGGCCTGGCTCCAGACAAAATAAATATTTGTTTTTAAATATAGCTTTTAAAGGAGAAACTGTACATTCATTCTGCACACCTCTAAAAGCCTTGCGGGGATATTGTTTTAAAAAATATTGCTTTTTATTAAAATGTTCCATATTCTAATTTGACTGTGAATGTGAGAACATAGATATCATTTTAGCAGGGGACGTGTCCCCACCACTTTTGAACAAGATGATTTTTAATAAAGAATGCACCCATCCATGTTTCCATCCTTAACTAATTCTGCTCTTCAGCACCAACATGAACTGTGATGGTGTCGCTGGTGTATGGTGTATTTCACTGCAGAAGCTTATGAGTCCTGAAGTGGTAGTCCAGAGGCTTCGCCCTTGTGTCGTATTTGGTGATTCGTAAGATCAATTCCAACTTTTAACTTTTATTTATTGAATAAAGCCTCTATTTTAAACACAGGCCTGTCTCTGTTTATGTTCCTCATCAGGGTCAGCTCGTCCATTTTGTTGCGGAGTGAGCGGACATTTGAGAGGAAGATCCCAGATAGAGCCGTGCGCAGTCCCCGTCTCCTCAGACGCATGAGCACGCCCGCTCGTTTACCTCTCCTCCTGCGTCTCACTTTCCTGATCAAAGCTGATATTGAATCGGCCACGGATGTAACAAAAAACGAGGTTAAGCCCACCGGAATCATAGTGTTGTAACTTATGAGTTCTTCTCTTGAGTAGGAGATCCCAGATACACAATTTACACACAAAAACAGAACAATAACAGTGCACCAAAGTACCAAGGCAGCCGTCTGCGGCGCCATCTTGGAATCTCCCCTTTGGTGATTAGAACCGACCACCAGAAGAGACACGTGGCTCAGCGGGCCAGTCGAGCTGGTTTCTGGGTCGGTAACAGATCTGAACCGCCGCAGACCTGCAGGAAAGGATCATGCGCAGCTTTTAAAAATACCTATTGCTTGCTGGTGTCTGGGTCGGATCCAGCTCACAGAAGCCCGCATGAGCTCCAGAACCAGATCACAGGCGTCTCTCTCCCTCTCTCTAAGCGCTAAACTATGTTATGTGAATGCATATTAATGAGTATGAGCCAGCTGGCAGATGCTCATTAGTATTAATGTTATATTAACTGACCGATACTATTTTAATTATCTGGTACATAATAGTAATCCGTACAATATTGTGATGTTAGCACGAGTTGAAGCTAGCATCGTTAACTCACAAGACACCTGCTGCTCCTCTCATTGCAGCACAATCTCTCTCCGATCGTTTCTCCCTCTGGTTTGTCTCTGGGGCATGCAGCAAACTCATAACTTTATGGTTTTGGTCCACCATAAGTATGATAATAAACATTTGAAATTTCCTTTGTGTCAGAGCCGCATTAGAATCTATATTTTTCACTGGATTGAGCTAACAGGACTTCCTCAGCTGAGTCACTTGGTTTGGCAAAAAAATAAAAGAATTTCTCACAAAAATGACTCTAAAAGCCTAAATAATTTATGTATGTGTACAAACATTTTAAAACGAGTTTCTATTATATTTCTCGAAACATTGGTTCATGGGAGTCTGACCTGCAATTTGCTCTTTAATTCAGACCCTGCCTTGTTTTTTCTCTTACTCCAAGGAAAAGTCCAGATGGATGCCTGTGCTGTTCTCCTTGAAGTACAGCCACCATTCAGCTTCTGACCTGCACAAAACAGGTTGACCAAATGTAAAAAGTAAGTTTTTTGCCAACAAAAGCTAAGTTTGAGATGAAAAATGGGATTATCTGGGACCTGGCAGGAAGATTTGGATCTAACATTGACAGCATCACATTTATCATCCATGTAGAAGCTTTGCATAACAAACCAGTGTTACACTCGTGTGATACAGCAGTAGTATGCCATATAATATTAAAAATATGATATTTGTATCGCAATTTCATCTTCCAGTCACATCACTGATACAAACAGTAATAAGCAAGACATAATTATGTTGATGAAATTGTGTCTGTAGGAGATCCGTAAGCGAGAATTATGAATCACAGAGCACTTTCCAGGAATCTCAAGCGAAAGTGTCTCTTTTATAATAACTCCGTCACTATGAATGTAATTTTACCGTTGATGTGGTTTGGACGAATAATGAATCATGAAATGTCTTCAGGTTATTCCAGTTGAAGTTTTGCCACATGGCAGCAGAGATTAGACATGATCTTCTGACTCTTCCTTCAGCATAACGTTTAGGTTGCCGGTTGAAATGTGAATCTTTGACTCGTACAATGTCACACTGAATGGTACTACAGCTGGAGACGGCTGCGTTTATTCTGTCTAATAGCTGATTTCTTTACGGAGGTTGCTCACTTCAAAACCATTACATTATAAACAGTATTTAAAAGGAGGGAAGGGTTAAAGAGGCCATCTGAAAATGAGAGTGATGTTTTTATTTTCTACTCTAATTACTCGTCTCTCTTTGTAACTTTCTTCTGCATTCCCTCATTTCCCCATCCTCACCTTTTGTAAACACATTTTCATAGTTCACTAAGCCCTTTGACCCATCAACCTTGATGTTTTTATGTGCAAACACCACCCCCTCCACATATAATAAGATTTTGTTGCGTTTAGGTATGGCTCTATATTCCTTATGGCAGAAACAGTCCTTTCTTTTTTAGAAACAGCAAAATATGCATTTTTGTCTGTTGGGTGTTAGAACTGTTGTGGTTTTTATGAGGATTAAAGCTAACTCACAGGAGCATTCTCTACCTTAACAAGGACAAATAGCTTGTTAAAAAACAAGCTCTGGGGGTCCCCCCTTAAATAAAGTTTTGAAAATAATTATTTTCTCTCCTCAAGAATCACCTTCACCTTCTGATTTAATCTTGGTAGTGTTCATCTGGGTCACTCTTGCTCTCTCTGCATTGATTTACATTTAGAAATCATATTTTACAGGAAGAATAATGTCCACCTATCAGCCCTGACCCTACGATCAACCCTAACCCTAACCCTGGCAAGCATGCACCCAAATCATGATCACTGACACGGTTCTATAAAAACAAAAATCCAAATACTTGTGTGCTTTTGTGACACTCAAATCTTTCTATTGACTTTGGAAACTATTCAGAATGCCTCCTAAAAGGACCAAATATATACAGTAAAACCGGCCTCCCTGACTGCCTTTAATTACTATTTATCAAATACGTCTGACCAGTTTGCAGTGGACATAATCTTTAGATACTGTAGATGTGACTAAAATGCCTTGTGACCTTTTGATGCACGTATTAATTAGAGTTACCAAAGAGTAAAATGTAATAGTTCTCTACATTTCTTGAGTAGTGGCTGTCTTGGGTGTTTGAGCCTGTCCAGAAGCTTCACACCCGTGTTTAAGAAGCTCAAAGCACCTGAATATAAACTTGTATACAAATGTTTAATGATTAACAAAGTGATGACAATGAACATTTACACCCATGCTCTTGGTTTGGCTCCAGATGAAACGTTAAAAGAAAACATTCCCTCTTGATTGACTGATTCCACATGCTGCAGTGGGATACAAATGCAGCTATGAAGCTATAAATACAATCACAGGTTTTTGGCACACTAACCCACTGCGCTGGCAATGTGTTGCATTAACAGTTCTATATGACAATAAACTATTGTAACAACCATTTGGACTGAAATGGAATGAAATATTCTCCTTGCCATCCTGGCAGAGATAAAAAAAGAGAAATAAATAAAAATAACTGCTCGACAGGCAGCTCAGTTTGCTCAAGTATAAGGCCGTGAAGCACTGCAACACCAGCATGAGAAATTCTCTCCACTCCACTACTATTTTACAAACAGGTGACTGCAGTCCTTGAGAGCTGCACTAATTTACCCAACCTCTCTTTAGTCAGGCACTCCTGTAGACGGTGAAGAGACTCCTTGGAGGGAAGTCCTTGTTACACTTGAGAGGAGAAAAACACCAATAGGATAGCATTGAAGGACTGTGGTAGTGCACCTTGGCAGTGATCTACGCAGGGTCACTAGGAAAAAAAGTGGTTCTTGACAATTGTCAGTCCATTGTACTGCTGGCTGCTTGTAGTGGGTTTAACTTTCAGAGCGTGACAACATGCCACTTTGTGCAATGTTGTGTTTTCAAGTCCGTTTGTTCAGTTAGTGTGGCACGCTCAAGGCATCACAGTCCCTTGTGATAGAGATCTGGTTAACTCCGTGTGAACAAAGTAAGTCTTCAGGTCTCCTTTGCCTTTAACATTGATGATGCCACGGCATGAACACATGTACCCTAGATTAGTTAGGATTGAACTTGTCTCCTCTGTTACCTGCAAAGGAGGAAATAAACACAAGATTAACAATTAAAGGGGTTGAATAATAGGCAGCTTGGTGTGTCTAATGTAACATACCAAAAGGTCTGTACCATCTTCGACCGGCTTTCCCTATGCAAATTAGTAATGGTGTAACGGCGATAGAGAAATGGTTCGTTCTGGGAAAAGCTGGTATAACGTCATTAGCATAGACACCTCCTTAAATTAGCAGGTCCCAACCCACTTCAATTTTAACAATATAAAATTGTTGTTGGTGGTAGTGCTACCAGCCCAAAAAACGCTAGCCCGAGCTACTGCTAATGTTTGTGTTTGACGAGAGGAACAAAGAATGTTGGAGAACACATGTAACGTTCCAGGATGTACTGGGAATATCCAGACATTGATAGAATGCCAGATGGATCCATAGTTTACCTACCAATTTATCTGGAAAACTGTACACAACTGTACACAGAGTTACTAGCTTTCGGCAGCGTCATGGAGCCATTGGGGTACACCGGCCAATCAGCACTCAACTAATTTAATATTCATGTTCAGGCTGAGTGGGTGGGGCAAACCAGTCTTTTCATCGTGGCACTTTATTATGGGGTTGTATTGCACTATTTATCGGGGCTCCTGGGACAATTTGAGCCCTAACAAAGTATAATTTGCTTTAAAGAGGCTCAAAGAACAGTTTCCACTGTAAATATGACTTTGCACATGCACAGGGACTTTTCATGTTATCTTACCTGTATTTTCCCCAGAACCCCAGTGGTCTCCATCCTACTGGCCACATTAACACTGTTACCCCAGATATCATACTGAGGCTTCTGGGCTCCAATGACACCTGCAATCACCGGCCCATGGTTTATTCCTAGCAAAGAAAAAAGAATCCCTCAATTGAAAAGATCAAAGTGCACCTTTAAGTTAGTGAGAGATTTTCCTCACCAATTCGGAGTCGGAAGTCATTGAAAGAGTGTTTGTTGATGACGTCTAGCTTCCCAACCAGAGCAAAGGCAAATTCTACCATTGTGCCTATGTGCATGTACTGCCTGTCATGTTCCTGGAGAAAACCCACAGAGGAAGAGTGGTGCAAGTTATTGTCTTGGAGCTTAAAGTCAGTAACAAATAAAACAAATAGGAGTCTTACTGACCGTATTTTTATTTTGTGTTATTGATCTTAAACTTGATGTCCGTGGACATTTAATCTCTCACCAGGACATTTACTGTAGTCATATATTAGTTTTGCAATTTTTCTTTTTTGACAAAGTCATTTTGACACGAGTCAGTGTTAAGCCCCAGAGAGTTCCAGGTGATCAATCAGCCTCCACGAGATGTCGGCCTCAGAAAATCAACACATGAGAAGCCTGTTTTTGTCTCCCTCTAAGTTGGCAGCACAAAAACACATGGTAAAAGTGAAAATGCCCTTTGTCTGCCCGACCTCATGCTGTAGCAAAACAAAAAGTTGACAAGGTTCAGCTGCAACAATTTCTAAATGCGAGGTGTGAAAACTCAATTAGGCAAGGCTTCCAGCAATCAGGCTTCACAAAGCACCGTGCTGCTTCATGCCCGAACAAGGCTCTGGTTTTCTCACGGTGCCTACACATTCAGATGTGTAGCAGAGAGTCACTGATGCACGGATAATGTTGTAGCAGATTTTATGGCTTATATGTGTCTGAAAGGCATTTTGTCCTGTGATGCTACAGCAATCTGATGTGTGGCCACTGGCCATGGTTGACTATTAAGAGGGGAAACTCCACAAACTGGTAAATTGTACAGCAAATGAAACAATAAAAAAATAAATGGCACCCTCTGTTATTGGTCCTGTGTACTGTTAGAATGCTGTATCAGTCCTAAATCTTGTGATGAAGCCACTCAGAGGTTTTCTGATGTCCAGAGGGATTCAACTCTTTCTACACAAGGGCAAAAATAAAACATTTTCCAACTCCTCGATAACCCATTAAACATGCAATAATTCAATCAAAAGAACAGATTTTTTGTTATTTTCTTAGAAAAGATCTGTGAAACATTGTAGATGTCAGGCAAAAAAAAGGGTATTTTTATGGATTGGCTAATGGTTGAGTGGTGCAGTGGTTAGCGCCGTTGCCTTGCAGCAAGGAGGTCCTGGGTTCAAAACTTCGTCTGGGGTCTCTCTGCAAGAAGTTTGCATGTTCTCCCTGTTCATGCATGGGTTCTCTCTGGGTATTCCAGCTTTCTTCCACAGCCCAAAAACATGACTGTTGATTGGTCTCTCTAAGTTCTCCTTAGGTGTGTGTGTGTGTGTGCTTGTGTAGGGATGAGCCGGAGACTCGTTTCAGACGAGTATCCGGTACGGATAAAGCATTTTTGACGAATACGAACCTGAAACGAGTAAAACTCGTAAATATCTGTAATCGTGCTGAAGGACAATCCTCATTGGGTAACTGACTGTCTTCACGCTCTGTGATTGGCCAGTCACATAGAGCGCCCGCCCCTCCCTACACACAAAACTCTCTAGCTGGCCGGGAGCGCAGTCCGTCCGGCTCATCCACGCACACACACACACACACACACACACACACACACACACACACACACACACACACACACACACACACACACACACCTTAATCAACATTGTTTTGTTTAACTTTGTGTGGGAAAATGTGAAGAACGTTAAGAAAAAAATCTGTTTAATCAAATTAAAATAAAAAATATATATAGAGAGTTGTGTCTGGTTATAGTATTTCATATTTCCTAGTTCCTACTGCATGAGTTCAGATGTATTAATCCATGCACTTAAATATTAATGTTCTGATTTTATTGTAACACTTGTTCTGTAATAGTTTCTTTACTATTGAGATAAAAAATATTTAATCTCAATTCTGAGGCCGCTCTGTAAATAGTTTTCAAATAAACAATACACATATCAACTTCTGATCATTCCATATTAATTTCAGACTTAAAACAATATATTGATGTAAACCACACCCACTTCATGTTAAACCACGCCCACTTCTGGGTTATGCCACGCCCATTCTGAGTTCAGATACAGATGCAGATAGTGGTGTAGTCGCTAACCCCTACTTGTTTGCTTGTCCTGTGTGTCTTTGTGATGCCCTGCAATGGACTGGTAACCTGCCCAAGGTGCACCCCGTTTGTTTTCCCAAAGACAGCTGGAGAAAGGTCCCAGCCCCTACCCCCTCGTGACCCTGCGTGGATAAGCAGGTAAAGAAAATGAATGTATGGTTGATGGTTTTTCTTTTGCTTAAACAAGTTTTAATATCACCAGCTCAAAGAAAAAGAATCTGAGTCATATTTTCTTCAGGTAAGTTTGCTATTTTACTCAAAATTCATGATTCACGAGTCTGTTTTCTAATAAAAGTCAGTGATGGTTTGTGGTCAAATTTACTGTTAAATTAGACTAAAAAGCTAAATAAAATGCTTAATTAAAAAGTAACTATTTGGATTAGATCTCACAGAACAACATTAACTGGACCTCTCTGCCTCTAAATATCACCCGGGATCAATTTAAATGGCTCCATCATTACATCCATGGCCTCCACGGCTTACATTAGGCCCGTTTCCACTATCAGAACTTCAGGGCAATTTTACTGGATGTTTGTGTCGAGTACGTGTCTCCATCCAGAGGAGCCAGTTAAGGTGGCTCGGGCATCTGATTAGGATACCTCCTGAACGCCTCCCCGGTGAGGTTTTCTGGGCACGTCCAACCGGAAGGAGGCCTAAAGGTAGACCCAGGACATGTTGGAGTGTTGGTTGGAGGGACTATGTCTCTCACCTGCCCAGGGAACGCCTTGGGATTCCCCTGGAAGAGCTGGCCCAAGAGGCTGGGGAGAGGGAAGTCTGGGCCTCGACTTAGGCTGCTGCCCCCACGACCCGACTCCAGATAAGCAGAAGAAAATGGATGGACAGATGGATGGACGTGTCTCCATTTCAATGGGCTGGCCTGAAGGGACTATTTTCCGGGACATTTCAGGAACCAACATAGTACCTGAACTGGAGGTTGTAGTCGGAATTGCACGGTAGTGTGGCTGAGTGGGACTTTTGCTGATTGGTTAGGGTTAGGGTAAGTCAGCAGGAAATGACATCAGCAGACGTCGCCCAAAACAAACTGCATTTGTAAAGTTGGAGGCGCTGCTGATTAAGTTAAATGGACTAATTAAAACTTTCAATGTTATTAATGCTTGTGGACGCCTTTAGTACTGATCAGTGACATCACTCACTGCGGAGGTAGTCGCGATAGGCTAACATTTAGCAAAGTCCTGAAAGGGCTGAATTTGTATGGAGACACAAAAGATCGAAAGTCTGATTACAAACACACCTCAGTGTGGCGTTCTCCGTGTTCATGTACAGGAGTGGAAATGTGAGACAGCTTACCTGTCCGCTCTCTGGTCCTGGCGTCACATTGAGTCCAGTTGCAGCCATGTAGGTGCTGCCGATAGTCTTTATCTTCTCCACTCCGCTGAACTTCGGTTTGGACAGCAGCTGTGGATGAAAAAGGCAGCAGCTGTCAATCAAACACTAGTTTATTTTCCTGCTACTTCTCTTTGGGAGCTTAATCACCCCAAGTTGTTTATTTATTTATTAATGAAAGTAGCAGAACTTGTTTTCAGGGTTGTTTTTAAAGGCGATCTGTCAGTCAGGATTATCAATAAAAGAGGAGTTTACCTCGTCAAAGTCTGCTATGATCTCGTTGAGAAGTCGGAGGCACTCCAGTCCTTCCTTATTGACATCAGACTCGGTGTAAAACTCTTTGAAGTCCGGGATGGAGGCAAACATCACACACACCGACTCGTATGATTGATGATAAAGGTCCTGATAACAGACGAAAAAGATCACTATGTTTCTTCGAAGAAGCCACAGAAAGATAAAGAGCGATGGCCTGCGGTTTCAGCGAGCCTCAACAATCCCTGATCTAAGTGGCTCACACTGAACACCGGCAGTCTTTGAATAAATAGGAGGAAGCTTTAATCATCTCTGTGGGAACTCAGGTCGCCTCGGCTGCTGAGAAAACGCTGCATTCATCTCCAGAAAGAACAGAACAACTGAGGTGACGCTTAGGAAGAGAAAGTAAATCAGAAAAAATAGGCTGATGCAAGAATGGCATGGTGCATGTCAATTTAGGTGACTAGTCTGGGGGAAGTTCTGTTTAAAGGAAACAATATCACTAGGGATGCTCAGTGTTGGCTTTTTTACCAGTTTACGATATACTGATATTATTGACTCTTAATTTCCGATACCGATATAATCCAATACCAGTATCTGCAAGGTAGGTGCTAGGTTAACATCGCATTTCTTCTTTCATGCTAACATTTTAAACATTATCCGTGCAAAACTACTTCAATCTACATTAGTAATAAAAAATCCCATAATTAATTTGTCTCCAACAGCAGCTGAATCTCATTCTCCCTGTATGTATTAGTCAGTAATGTGTTTTTTCTTTTTCTTTATATTGAAGCTATGGTGATCAAACATTTTTAAAGATCTTCAGATCAGATTCTTGTTTCTGTTTTAGTTGTTTGTAAGTTGGCTAGCTACATGTAGCTACGTGCTATGAGGACATTGTACGTTTACTACACAGGGCAAATTTCTACTTCACAAGTTGTGCCAAATAAACTTAAATATCTCAAAAACGTTCCCTTAGAGGTATTATATTGTGACATTTTTAGAGAGATGAGAGGTAGCTGAAGAGTTTGATGTATAACATGTGTATGGTATGTACACGTTGTGCTTTTAAAAGACTGAAAACTGAAAACCAATACTATTTTCTGTTTTTTTCTGATGTTTTCTGACCGAAAATATCGATAATATCGCTAATATCGCTAATATCGGTCTACCATTAATATCATGTGTTCTTGCAGTGAATTGCGGGTATAAAAAGATGCCAACATTCCTGACATGTTGAGAACGGAGAACTAGAAGGGAGAGTATTGAAAAATTAAATAAATGGGTATTCTGAAAAAAGCAAGACTAGCAGCCATCTTCCCTGCAGAAACATAAAGTAATCAAATGTCTTGCATTCCTGGAAGGAACGTCGAATCTCTCCTCATTCACCTCATTCTTCCAGTTTCGTCCCAGGAAGTGTTCAGCGACGTGAGCTGGTAGGACGTTCTCCAGCAGAACTCGGTTCAGGTTCTCCATGGTTTCGATCTCCTCACACTCCCTCTTGAACTTGTCCCTCCACAGGAAGTCCAGCCTACAGTAATACTCATTCTGCCCCAGGACAAAAGCGAGGGAGAAGACTTTGTCTGGATGCTTTCAGTAGAAACTTATAAACAAAAGCAATAAAGGAAATGAGAATGACCTGGAGAACAGAGCAGACCTCATGAAACCACAGCTGTCAGACGTTTTACTTCCCAGTGAAAGGCTGCTGGATTTCTTTCCCCGTAATTGCAACCACAAGGCAAAGCTTTTGCATTTGAAGACCATTCTGACTGACTGAAAGTAAAAGGGATGCTTGGTATTCATAGAAAAATAGTGTCCCAATAAAACGACAGGGAAACAATGTGAGAAGCTACGGTTATTGCTCAAGGAATAACAGACAGGGCTGTTTAGCATAAAACATAGCCACTACTTCTTTTGTTTTTTTTTTTTTTGGTTATTCATGCTCGAGGTGGAGTTGAATACATCTACATACGTAATAGGAGGACTCATATACGGAGGTCAAGTCATCCTGGGGTCGTGTGTTTGCTCATCTCTCAGGCCTTGCACCCTTCTTTATCTGAACGCTTCAAGCTACTTGTGGGTTGGCTGATGACATGTGTGTGTGTGTGTGTGTCCTGTATAATGTGTGGTTAGTGGCCTAGATGATAAATACGTGCACTAAATTTCTTTTTCTTGACATTAAAAATGGGTGCAGATTTAGTTATCCTCAGGCTGGAAGACAAACTACAACAGCCTCCTGGTTTATTAGGATAGATAATCTGCATCATTTGTGTCTACGCAGATGGAGGGAGCTACGTCAGCAAGAGCAGAAAGTAGGCCAGAAGAAATGGAGCTCATTTGAAATGCCGTTTACAAAGCAGCTAACGAGGCTGTAAATGAGTTTTGCTCCACTGTGCATCTGTTCTTGAGGGATGAATTACGAATGCCTTGTTTCCTTTTAACCTCATTTCTCCTCCCTCTGACTAAACTTCTTAGAAAGGCCTCGTTAGGTTTGATACCAATTTTGGTCAGCTAACAGCATGCCGAATCGGATATGGCGCTGATGTGCGCTCTCCAAAGCGTCGGCGAGAAGCAACCCTTCCGACATCTTCCCAGAATTAATTTGACTTTAGCTGATGAAGAATTGTGCTGCAGTAACTTAAACCCAAAAAGCGTTTGTAGGAGGGAACCTAATTAGCCTTGAATAGGACTGCAGCAAATCAGCTGTTTTTAAACAACCAAGCAAAACGTTCTTGCCTCTCTCCCAGAAGTAGAACAACTCAAAGAGCGGTTTGAACCAACTGCGGCTCTCAGGGGAGCTCCAGTTTTGGTTACGGGAGCTCTGGAGGTTTTCTCCCCATCCAGAACATCTGTTTAAGCTGGATGATGGATTGTACCCCAGAAAAAGATAAAACTCATTATAGAAAATCTGTGTCAGCACAGTTTAGACGAACGTCCAGCTCTAAACCACATCCTTCATCACTGGAGATCTGAAGAATTAATCTGTCTTTAAAGGAGTGAAAGTTATTTCAGACTCTCTCATGACAAATCTTGTGAAGTACTCTCTGCTCTCCTGGAAATGAAGATGATCTCAAAGTGCTGAATGACCTATAAACATGGTTCTGGCTGCAGGGAAATTAAGTTTCTGACTCGGTCACCTTCATCTTGGAGGCCAGTAAGAGGAAACTACCCACCTGTCTGGCTAAAACCAGGAGAGTGATGAAGAAGATGAACAACGAAACAGAACCCATGGTCTTTAGATCCTTCAGGACACCTGGTCTGGAGAGAAAGAAGCACATATCTTCAGAAATACTTACCCCAACCCTGATTTAGTTAAAGCAATCACTTATTTGACAATAGTTGTTTGTTTTTTTTACTTTGTAAAGTTTCCTCCCAGAGGCAAAAGAGCTATAAGTTATAGAAAAGCTCAGTAACTTTGATATATCTGGTACTGATTCAGATCCGAGCCGTCTTGTTTTTTTTTATGAAAAAGGGTGAATTTATTCACCAGTTTGAAATTTAAAAATACCATATTACTGATCCTAAATTCAAATTAATCATAACTTTTCATGTTTGTATCAAACAAATGTAGCCAAAAGTTTTAAGAATGAAAAAATTATTTAAGCAAATTTTGTTGCCTCACTTTGTGTGACGTCAGTGTTCATAAACTCCAGAATGTTCTGAAAAGCCATCAGAAGATTCATAATTACTGTCCAGTTTTTGCATGAAAATGAAAGGATTCCCTATGTTTGCAAATAAGTCTTCAGGACTCCCAGTTAAAGTCCAGCAGCACCAGGACCGCCCCCTAAAGCTAATCTGGCTGCGGCATCTGGGCTCCACCAGTCCAGGTGTGAGTGCATCAGAGCACAGTGGGAAGAAGACTTCTGGAGGAAGACCTGAAGCCACTTATGGCCAAGAAAAACACCAGGGGCACGCTGATGTTCTGCTACAGGTCCAGGGATTGGACTTCTGAGGGCTCTCCTCTCTGAAGCGTTTCCTTTCTGGTTGTTTGTAGAATCTGGTTAAAAGTGGCTGTCAAGAAAAAGTGCTACCACTAGAAGAAGGTTACCATTAGTTAGTACTAGGTTACCACTAGGTGCCCCCAAACCTGTCTTTCCATCAGTAAAAAACGTTTATGTGTGGGGTTGCTTCTCAGCCAAAGGAATGAACTCGATCATGATTTAGCCTCTGAACAGAGACACAGATATAGACTAAACATGTTTCCACTGTCGGAACTTCAGGCTAACTTTATCGGAACTTCCTGGCATGCGAGTGTCTCCAGTTCACCCGGCCATTTTCTGCAACCTTTAGAGTACCTGATCAGGGGTAGGAGCTCAAAATGGCCTGGTGGAGTAGCTGGGTGGAACTTTTGGTTAACTCACGCTGACTGGTTGTAACTCAGTAGGAAATGACATCAGCAGACGCCGTCCAAAACAACCGGCATTAGTGAAATTAGAACAGTTGCTTGTTGAGCAGAATGGAAGCAAAAGAAAGTAAGCCCCCATCGCTCTGCTTTAACATTTATGTTACTAAACTCCCAACTCGGGAAAACACGGCAGAATTCCCCTACAACTAATTCACGGAGCTTGTTGTCTCACAGCGAGCGCCGTAAAAACCAGCCTTTTCTGGTCATTGAACAACACACTTCACATTACGCTGCTGCTCTCTTTCTCTGACAGAATTGCAATTTTAATGTTACTAATGTTACGGTGGACAGTTTCTGGAGCTGATCAGTGACATCACTCACTGCAGAAACGTGATATGCTGACGTCAGTGCACAGTCCTGAAAGGGCTGAATTTGCATGGAAACACAACAGCTGAGAGGACCGGGCCATTGAATCTCCTGTCAATTTCCCTCTCCCGGAATTTACCCTGAAGTTCTGTCAATGGAAACACACCTAATGGTGCCTAAACATCATCCAAGAGGAACTCCTTTGATGATGAACAACAATGGAGCCCCAAGCCATGAAGCTAAAGTTAGAACTGAGGGGTTCAGGGAACAAAACATCCAAATACTGGATATTTTCTTGTCCAGGAAACACCTCAGACCCTAGTACCATTGAAGACTTGTGAGTCAAGAGTCAAACAGCCAAACAAAAACCACAAATTCTGACACACTCCGACCATGGAGAATGAGCTGCCATCAGTCAGAAGTTGACTGACCGCCTGCCAGGGCAAATTGCTGAGGTCTTGCAGAAGATCTAAAACCCCCGAAAAACCTACGTTTGACCACAGCAGTAAGGATGGAAGAAATGTAATTAAACGGGAACTTTCTCAGGTTTATAACATCTGCACAGAAATAATATTAACAAAGTTATCCCTACAAAATGTATTCAAGGTTCCTAAAAGAACAACATGTGTGAGACTCATCAAAAATAAATTTTAATTAAATCATCGTTTTGATCTAATGGGCTAATGACTTGGAACTCCGTTTCTGTTCCTTAATTATTTTTCATTACTATCAACAATAAAATCAATCCTATTTCCAGTCGGTTTCATTTTAACCAAAAACTGTGGCCTTCGGTGTGATAATCTCCTTGCTGCTTTGAAAAGATCAGCTGGATTTTAATCTGTGGGAACAAACGTAAATCTCTCTCCAAGAACAAATTTACCAAACATTACAACTATTAATAAACAATTTTTTTCTTGGAAGGTTTCTTGCAGACATTAACACATATCTGATAAATGCCAAGTAGCCCAGCTAAAAAGATGTAAACATCATTAAAATAAATACAATTAAAATCAAGTATAAATGGAGGCTTGGTAAAGTTAAGCAGCAGTGAACAAGCTTCTTGGATCATTTGTAATAATGTGTGTGTGTGTGTGTGTGTGTGTGTGTGTGTGCGTGCGCGTGCGTGTGTGTATGTGTGTGTGTGTGCGTGCATGCGTGCGTGCGCGTGTGTGTGTGTGTGCGTGCGTGTGTGTGTGCGTGCGTGCGTGTGCGTGTGTGTGCGTGCGTGTGTGTGCGTGCGTGCGTGTGTGCGTGTGCGTGTGTGTGCGTGTGTGTGTGTGTGCGTGCATGTGTGTGTGTGTGTTCTGTCTTCTCGATCCCCAGTGAGTCGTGGAGGATGGCTGCTTATACTGAGCCAGGATTCTCTGGAGGTTTCTTCCTGTTAAAAGGGAGTTTTCCTCTCCACTGTCGCTGCATGCTTGCTTGGTATGAGGATTGCTGTATAGTCACTGACACTAGTCAGTGACTTGATGCAATTTGCTGGGTTCCTTATATAGGACACATTATTTCTGATTGGCTTAATGAACTGACCTGAATTGGAATGTTTATTATGTGAAGTGCCTTGAGACGACTCTTGTCATGATTTGGCGCTTTATAAATAAACTTGAATTGAATTGAACTTGAATTGAATTATCCTGGCTGACACATTTTTTGTGCTAAGGATTTACGGTAGTGAAGCTGTAAGTAAAAATATCCTTTGACATGTAATTTGTCAAAGAAGCGGACTGTTTCATTAAGCATCCTTGGTGTATTTCCTATTCATTTAACACCTTTAAACTATTCTTATTTAGTCTGAGAAAGCAGCACAATCCTGCCGCTAATAAAGCAAAGTGAGAAGCACCCAAGTGAGAGGAATGTTTTTTTTTTCCACAAGTTTCTCTTGGTGCGATGAAAACTTTTGGCAAGATGGGATTTTTTTCTCTTCCCCCCAGCGGTTGTCAGTCAAACGCAGAAATTCATCTCCATCACCACAACCCGCATTATCTCCTTCTGCCACTCATCTCCCTCTTTTCCAGCGGTTACACTTGACTGACAGTCATATGGGATGCTGCCAACTCCACATCAGTTCCTCTCAAACGCAGTCTCATTAGATATTGTCATAAGCTGGGATCAACGTGTGTGAGCGGGCTACAAGGTCGGAGAGAGGACGGAGGACTTTCTGCAGATCTTGAGATATTTAGGAGGCTCTAATTGTTTTAGCGTGCTCTTACCGATCCAGTGTATCAGTAGAGTACATGGCTTTGCTAAACCCATCCAGAAGGGAGGCATTAGTCTGGAGGATGATGATGTTGTAGATCACCACGGCAACCAGCATTACCACCATCTTCAGCTCGTAGTTAATCCTCAGGAACACGGAGCAGGAGACCAGGCCCAGAATGCAGCAGTAGATAAAGTACTGAAGGGGGTGAGCAAACAGTGATCTTCAGTAAACTTCGACACTGTCCTAAACTCTGACCATATTTGTAATTTTGAGAGTAACAATCAAATCGGATATTATTAACTGTTATTATGTGATTGACCACAACGTGGGATCTTCTCTGCGGCACCGCGTTGCTGGCGTGTGACTTACTGGCAGGTAAAACTTGTTTTTATCTCCCTCTTTTCCTCCGCTGTCTGACAGGCTGTTGTTAGTCAGATTCACAGGGGGAGCAGTTGGCAGGATGTTGTCCCCAGGTCCTCCAGAATCCTCCATGAAGAACTAACAAACAAATCAGACAGGATGAGGGGTTTAACGTGGCAACCGAGCCGAGTGTGGCGGCGCTTCAGAAAGCCCGGGAGGAATCGCTTCGTGTTGTTATTCTAAGGTGTTCACCTCATAAAAGAGGCTCCATTCAAATGTTACCCTGATTTAAAAAATCATTGTTAAGAGTTTAATCTTGAGAGGATAACCATTATAATCTGCAGCTTTCGTAGAGTGCGACACCCTTAGATGTGACGAACATGAGGAGAACGTGTGGTTTCTAAATGCAGCCGTGCTGATTATAATCATCATGTGTCATTTGGGTTCTATTTTTACTCACCTGACAACGTGCCAGATCATCTGTACCCATCATGTTGTTTTTCTCTTAAAATCCTGCTTCACTGATTCATGTCCAGCCGTTTTACATCTACATCTCGCCTGTCGCAGTTGTACCTGCTGTAGGCCGCTTCCCGAACAGCCTCAGCTTGGATAAATAGAGTTGACGTCCTATCAGACTGAAGAGGTGATGGCTAGTCCAGCGCAGCCAGGACCCAAATGTTGCCGTCATCTGAAAATGGCTGTAATCTGACAAATGTCACAGTGGAGTTTGGTGTTGAATACTTGGACCTGCTCTTGACCTTTGCCCTTACATGGGCCACATGTGGAGGTCTGAGCTATCTCAAACTAGTCAGGGAACTGCTCTGAGGATTTGAAGGAGATGCTGTAGGGAGTTTCTTCTCTAGAGGACTTTTGGGAGGTTTTCATTACTCAGCTCAGCTCAGCCCTGCTCTACACAGTTCAGGTGTTTTTTCCAGTACAACTGGAAAACTGCTCGAGTGGGTGGACTTGTCACAGTGAGCTGTCAACCAGACACAGAGAACGAGCATGAGGTGACCTGTCTGTGACACAAAAACACAATGCAACAATGGTGGACTTGGTAGTGATATTCCACATCCTGTTTAGGTGGTGGCTACTTGTCAGTTTCTGAAAATAAGAGACGTGCAAAAGGCTGCCGGCAGCAAGGTGGAAAGCTCTGGAGCGACCAGGCTCCACCCCCTAGCCAATCAGGGCCGACAATCTCTGACGTTGCGTTTTTGGCCCGACTCTGTACACTTAGAACCACGTTGAAGAAGGTACCAAACAAGAGGCAGCAACCATGAACCTGTTACTAATAGAAAGGTCCCAAAACCACGCTACGTAGGTACCAAGAGAAAAAGTACTTCACTCTCCTTCCTTGCAGATAGTTGAACAGCCTCAAAGCAGACATCAAGGCTGAGGAGCAGCCTCTTCATCTCTGACCCCGAGAGCATTTTTAAATAGTTTTAAGGTGATTAAATCTAACTTTTGGTTGTGTGTTTGGTTTAAGCTGACCCACTTATTCTCCAGTGTCTTTAGCATGCTGTTAAATGAAAATAAACAAATGTGATTCTAAATGAATCCAGCAGGATATGACCCTTGGATACAGCAGCTGTTGTATATTTGTAAATAACCGTAAAATTCCATGTAAACAACCACATAATATATTAATAAAACACCACAGCATGTGCTGCTATGAAATGTTGGACACCGAAGCTCAGCCTAGCCGTTAGCTCATCAGTCATGTGGAAAACCAACTCTGTTTCTCTGAACAGAGGCTGTTTAGGAAGCTATCTTCAGCAGTCTGTGTTTTTGAAACATAATAGTGATTATTTATTAAGTGCCGAGAGTTCCTTCTAAGGGATTGCAGATGGAGTACTGGAACTTGAGGTGAAACGTTTAGGTTTAGAAAATAAAAGACTCTGCCGAATCTTTGCAGAAACACTTTTGTTTCAGACGTAATGCATTAAGTCCTTTAATCTTTTCCAAGTTTCCTCTTAAAACCCTAAAAATATGAAGTTTTATCTTCTTTACAGTTAGAAATATCAACGCTCTACTATGCCCGCAAAAGAATGAAAAAATAAATAAATAAAATAAAATCATGGTGTGAACTGAAAGCAGCGCTGCATTGTTCTGTTACAGCGCTCCACCCAAAGCTCACTTGTTCTTGTTAAAACTGTAGCACTAACATTTAATTACCTACAGAGCAGGATTGTTTGGGGTTGAAATAAAAACAAACATTCTGTAAATCATGAAATAAGATCCACTGCAGCTGCTGGTTGGACAAACAGACTCGCGATTTCTGCGATGATCTGCAAAAGACACTTTAGCAAAAGTCTCACCATGTTGAACACAGCCATCACCAGTATGAGAGCGGTGGTTGTCATGGTGAGGACCAGTCGTAGCCAAGGGTTGTTGGTGACAATGATGCGAGAGGAAGTGGGGAACCATGGGAGAGGGCAGAAAGAACCTTTCCCTCCATGCTGCGGATGCAAAGGCACAAGAGATGGGAATAAGAAGGGTTGTGGACACAGAGACAGCACATCATTTTAACTAAATCATAAAATGTACGGAAGCAGAATGTGAAAAGGAAATATTTAGAATCATCGCTGACATTGAAAAGTGAATTTAATATCATTTAAAGGTCAACTATCTTGATATTTTTAATACATTTGCAGTGGTCTCTAGTAGGAATGCATGCCTGGTGAGTCGTTCTCTGGAGAAAAGATCTCCGGTGCACCCGTTTGAGAATGTAGATGGTAGCCGGAGGACAAAGTACGGGGAGCCTAAGTAACGCCCATCTACTTCCGGACCCCGGACGGGGCTAAAAACTCTATTTTGTAATTCCACTTATGTGTCATGGATTTCACATCTGATGGCCGTGAATTTCCAACGGGGGGAAATGTTATTTTAAATCCATGACTACAAATATGCATCACGAAAGTGACGTCATCAAGGACACAACGACCGCGATAGACTGAGTGGGGCTTGACCCTGCAACCTTCCGATTCCAGCGCGAGCACTTAACTCCTGTGCCACCGTCCCCCCAGTGATGTCTGGTTTGTAGTTGTGCTAATTACAAATTTTTTCAAGCTGATAAATTTCAAAGTACATGGCAAGTATGGTCAAAACATACATACAACACACATCATTTGTTTCCATTTAAATCTCAGTACAACATATGTGCAACCCAGGGCTTAAGGCAAAGTGGATTAGAACATAGCTCTTTCAGCCCCGTTGACTTGAATTCATTTCTTCATTTTTCCGGGGACACGTGAGCCGACTGCAAGGGGAGGAGACCTGGGCTCCCTATTTTCAGACGACAGGACTTATTTCCTGATATTTGGACATTTCTCGTCCGATTGGCTAACAGCAACTCGACTCAGCCACTGACTCGATTCGCTCTGCAACGCTGATGTTTTATCTCCACAAATAACACAAGCCTGGAGGAGTTCTTCCATGATGTGGAGTTGCTAATGCTAGAGTTGCTGGACGCTAAAACAAGCGCATTCCCAGTGGTGAGCCAAGATGGGTGAGTCCATGAAGGTAAGTGACAGTGTGATGTAGATCTATCGGGCTTTTCAGAACCGAGCGTCTTCCTTTCTATTTTCAATCAGAGGCCAATGCAGTAAATAGGGGTAGAAAACTATGTTCACGTCCAGCCTGCATGTGATAGTCAGAGTGTTATTTCTCAGTTAACTTGGTCTAAAAGGTGTGACCATCATTGTTCAAGACCTTTTGCACACCTGTACTGCAGCTACTTAAATGTTAACACCACCTGTGATCGCTGCAGTGGAGTTTATCAAAATAAAAGCACTAAGTGAATAAGAAACGTAGCAAGGATGCTTAAAAACGAGGGCATATTTTCTCTTCACCAGGATATTCTGCCATCTTGGCTTCCTCTGACATCAGATCAAGACTCACGAGCTCAGCCTTTAGGGAATGTCTTCTATTTATAACAAAAGGCAAAACAAGAGCATAAACGTGACAAAAAAAATCTGTGATGATTTAGTCAAAATCAGAACTGAGATAAAAACCTGAAAAATTGTACAACCCTTACTTGCTCTCAGCGTCTTCTCTGTCAGATCCTCGTTTTGCTCTAGTTTTTTGTTTTTCCTGTATCGTACTTCGTGCCCTTGCTTTGTTTTGTAACTTTTTTCCTGTCATATCTGTCATTTAATTTAATTTAATTAGTTTCCTCCTCTGTAGCTTCTCTGCCCTTGAGTCCAGTCGTTCATCTCATTTCTGACTGTGTAGTCTGAACGGATCCACCTCCTGTCAACTTGGACATTGTGCTTCTTCAGTTTAAATTATTTTCCTATAAGTCTGTTCCTCTGACATGTACTTTTAATGTCTCCAGCTCTGATACAACCACTCTCCGATCGGAGGGAGCTTTCAGAAACTCAAAAATCCATTAAAAGTGGATCATCTTTCTACTTCTAGTTAAACAGCAGTTGTTTTAGTTCTCACCCTTTTAAAATGTACTTTTGTTTGCAATCGCTTGGCTCATTGAATCTGAGCGGACGTTTTCCCAGAAAGCGCTTGATAACTGCGTAACGAACTCTTTTACAGACGAACACAGAGACCTTCAGCAATGATGTGCCTCATTAATAATGACGTTTCTGAAGCCAAGCGGTCACACGGAGATAAAGCACACACGGCATTAAAGACATGCTTTCTCGCTAGTCGATTAGGTGCTCTGTCAGCAGTGACCACAGCGGCTCTCACTGGGAAAACGTTCGCTGTTAAATTGATTTACGAACTCATCAAACTTGATCTTTTGTTCCTTCCTTCTGTTCACAATCAAGCAGCGAACAACACCGACTTCTGGGTCAGGACAGAGCCAAGGTTATTGATAACCCTCCCAATAATTAAACGTGACCCACTTACTGTGTGATAGCACTCTCACAGGGAGGAAGAAGGAAATGGGCTCTTAAAGGAGAAATCCTTTATTGATGGGCCATATTTCCCATGAGGCAGCTGTGTCAGCATGGAAATATGGGCCATCTCTCCACTTGTGCCGGGTACAGTCAGGTGGAGCTGTGGTATGAATCCTTTCTTCCTTTTTCAGCTTTCAAAATATATTTTAATTCTAACAATAAAAATGGAACACTTTCCTGAACAATTAGAGTCAATTTGGTACTCAGAGAGAGTTTTACTGTGGAACGTTTTAACTTTCATTGCATTAATAGATATTTTTATGTTTGTGTCAATTTTATGTCATTGGTAACAAACCTGGCATTTCAGGTCCAGAATGATTTTTCAAAGAAGGAAATAAAAGACAATTTTAAGCAAAAATAATGAAGTCAAAGAAGGGTTGAGGGGGGACAGGGCACAACCGGCATGAGGACCGGGTAGGGATTGGGTGGGGGTGGGGGTATCTTTACAGTAAAAAGATGTATAAAACTACAGCAATGCATAACTATCAAGTACCACTGATGGCAGAAACGGCCAATCACACGTTAGCAAGTATCAGTAGAGCCAATAGATGAGCTTGTGGACGATTCTAATGGGAAACAGGCTTCAAGGCTTGGTCCTAGTGCTCAACTACTGTCTATTTAACATAGTGTAATATTGTTTTTGGTTGGTAAACAGTGCAGGGGAAAAAATTTTACTTTGGAAAAAGTGGGGGGGACTTGCCCCATTGTCAACCCACAAAACTACGTCCATGATTATTACACGATACTCTTCACCATACCACAAACTGTTAATTAGCCAAACACTAACAAAATAAAATCAGCGCTGCCTTTTATTTTTATTTCAGGTCACAATCATAGAATAAAGCAACACTTGTTGCCATGATGTAATGGAGTACGGTGGCACAGGAGTTAAGTGCTCGCCCCATAATTGGAAGGTTGCAGGTTTGAGCCCCGCTAAGTCTGTCACTGTCGTTGTGTCCTTGGGCAAGATACTTAACCCACATTGCCTGCTGGTGGTGGTCGGAGGGACCGGTGGTGCCAGTGCTCGACAGCCTCGCCTCTGTCAGTGCGCCCCAGGGCAGCTGTGGCTACATTGTAGCTCATCTCCACCAGTGTGTGAATGTGTGTGTGAATGGGTGAATGACTGATTGTGTTGTAAAGAACCCTGGGGGGTTCCAGGACTCTAGAAGGTGCTATATCAAAAACAGGCCATTTGACATTGCCATTACCATTTAGTCTTGTACGTTGTTAAACCAGTAGGCTTTGGTCACTGGACCTCAGGGACCTGCTGGGGGTGTAGGGACTAAGAAGATCACCAATGTAAGATGGTGCTTGTCCATGTAAGGCCCTATAGACCAGAACCAGGATCTTGAAATGAACCTTGAAGTTAACTGGCAGCCAGTGAAGCTGGAGGAAAAGCGGGTTTATGTGTGTGTGTGTGTGTGTGTGTGTGTGTGTGTTTGGAGGACTTGGTCAGAAGCCAGGCACAGCCAGGCAATCTGAACCACCTGCAGACGGTTCAGGGAGGTTTGGCTCAGACACGTGAAAAGAGAGTTACAGTAGTCTAAGCGTGCGGAGATGAAGGTGTGGACAACTGTCTCAAGTTCAGAGCGAGACAGAAAGGGATTCAGCTTAGCTTGTTAAATACTCTAGAACATATTTGTTAATTACTCTAAAATGTACTTGATAAATATTCTAGAACATACTTGTTAAATACTCAAGAACATATTTGTAAATACTCTAGAACATACTTGTTAAAACTCTAGAACCTACTTATGAAATACTCTAAAACCTACTTCTTAAAAACTCTAGAGCACAATTGTTATATACTTTAGAACGTACTTGTTAAGAATGTACTTGGTAAATACTCTACAACGTACTTGTTTAATACTCTAGAACATACTTGTTAAATACTAGAATGTACTTGGTAAATACTCTAGAATGTACTTGTTAAATACTCTAGAATATAATTGTAAATACTCTAAAATGCACTTGATAAATACTCTAGAACGTACTTGTTAAAAACTCTACAACCTACTTGTGAAATACTCTAAAACACACTTATGAAATACTCTAAAATGTACTTGTTAAAATTTCTAGAGCATACTTGTAATATACCCTAGAACGTACTTGTTGAATACTCTAGAACATACTTGTTAAATACTCTAAAATGCACTTGATAAATACTCTATACCGTTCTTGTTAAAAACTCTAGAACATACTTGTTATTTACTCTAGAACATACTTGTTAAACACTAGAATGTACTTGGTAAATACTCTAGAATGTACTTGTTAAATACTCTAGAATATACTTGTAAATACTCTAAAATGCACTTGATAAATACTCTAGAACGTACTTGTGAAATACTCTAAAACACACTTATGAAATACTCTAAAATGTACTTGTTAAAATTTCTAGAGCATACTTGTAATATACCCTAGAACGTACTTGTTGAATACTCTAGAACATACTTGTTAAATACTCTAAAATGCACTTGATAAATACTCTATACCGTTCTTGTTAAAAACTCTAGAACATACTTGTTATTTACTCTAGAACATACTTGTTAAACACTAGAATGTACTTGGTAAATACTCTAGAATGTACTTGTTAAATACTCTAGAATATACTTGTAAATACTCTAAAATGCACTTGATAAATACTCTAGAACGTACTTGTTAAAAACTCTAGAACCTACTTGTGAAATACTCTAAAACACACTTATGAAATACTCTAAAATGTACTTGTTAAAATTTCTAGAACATACTTGTAATATACACTAGAACGTACTTGTTGAATACTCTAGAACATACTTGTTAAATACTCTAAAATGTACTTGTGAAAAACTCTAGAAGATACTTGTTAAATACTCTAGAATGCACTTGTTAAATACTAGAATGTACTTGGTAAATACTCTACAACCTACTGGTTAAATCCTCTAGAATGTACTTGCTGTCTTGGGTATTGATAAATGGCCATTATCTAAAAGGACAGATACTAGTTGTTTAAACTCTTCATCGGGGTGACAGTCAGAGCACCGCGTGACGATTCTGAGACTTTTGAAGTAAACCTAAAGGAAATGTAGATACGTGGCTCCCCACTCAGTCCTGAAAACACAGTACTTATGCATCAGTAAGAGGTGGGCCATTTTCCATTTTTATTCACGGATCTTTCTAAAATGTAAACAGAACTTAACAGTGATGGCCAATTAATTCATGAAAGGAGTTGGTTTTATCTTGAGGGGATGTGTCCTGAGAATGAATGTGTTTGAATCTTGTGAGCTCACTCCACCGCTCACTGATTTCCACAGTTACAGGAGACCAAATGTGAAGATTGGCAGAGAAGGCATGAATGAATTTATTCATGAGGCAATGCTTTGCGTGCTAACTGCAGAATTAATACAGAGGGAGCTTGTTCTAGTGGTACATCGCGTGGGCATTCAGCAAGCCTGCTCAGAAGCTAATGTTAAAGATTTCCGGAGGTAAATAATGTTTCAATAGATCAGATTTTTTTCATTAAAATAGTAAATATAATGTTCATAATTGCTGGATTTCTAAATACCAACAAAATATCTCCTGTATAATTGAGAAGAAGACTCAGTGGTGTGTTTGTATCGGCACATCCTAAAGTTCTGCAGAAACCTTTTAATCTTCCAATGATTCAAATCAGGGTTGATTAAAAAATATTTCAAAAAACATGCAGGAAATTGGTCCTCAGGGTCCATTAGTGCCTACTAGAGCCCTGCATTGGGACTGAGATCTCGCCGGATATAACGCAAATCTCAAAGGAGTAGGTGGTCACAAGACTGCTGTAGACACAAGTCCCAAGATCATTGGAGGAATGGAGAGCTGCTGATAAAATTAAGACGGGAGGATAGAACTTAAATTACGTCTTTTGCTTTATTGATTAATAAGTTTGCAGGTTGGATGCAAATTTTGTGTATGGGATCAAACCAAAATGAAGAATTTGAGAGAAAGAAACAGTGAAAAAAGAAAAGAGTTGTTTCAAAAGTAGCGCTCCCTGTCCTGTGCACTAGCACTTTAGCTACTTTAGCAGTCCACACAGGTAGCTAGTTATCTAATGTCTGGTTAAAGCTCAAGTATCTCTTGGCTTAATTTAAAAATAAATAAATAAAACGAAACTACATTTTCTTTTTTCACTCATGTTTTTTTCCCTTCAATTTCTTCCATTTTGTTCAAGCTTCCAAGTTTTTTTAATTGATCCTTTAGGCAAAAATCTAATCCCAAACATGTGGGAGCTTGTGAGAAAAACAGTAACAGACTGATAGGGCAGGCGGGAAGGTAAAAGTTCAGTAGGATTCAAAAATATTGTCCTAGGCAGGGCTCCACTGCCTACCTGTGACCCAAACTGAAAAGAACTCAAAGCAGCAGAAGTGTCAAGAAATGTCGAACATCTTTTCAAAAAGAAAATTCCCCGAGCAGGATTTGAAAGGTGGATCCTAGTGACACAGATGTGTGATTTCTTCCCTTTAGATTTTTGACACTATCCCAATAATAAAACAAAAGTACATCTCACTAATAGATAATACGCGAAGGTCATGCCAAACTTTATGCCTTTTGAAAATGCAGCCCCATAAATATTCACATCAGCACACACTTGGCACTCCTAAACCTTGGTAAGTGGTGTGTGTGTGTGTGTGTGTGTGTGCGTGCGTGCGTGCGTGCGTGCGTGCGTGCGTGCGTGCGTGTGTGTGTGTGTGTGTGTGTGTGTGTGTGTGTGTGTGTGTGTGTGTGTGTGTGTGTGTGTGAGGGAGAAATCCATGCAAACGCACCAGAATGTGACCAGCGAAGCAAAGGAGCAGAATCAAAGCCAACAACAGGAATGTCAGGCCAAACGAGATCCCCAGCACAGCAGTTCTGTAACATACACACACACACACACACACACACACTCTGTAGTGTTACCCAGGGAAGCAAAAAGGAACAAGGACTCCGTCATGTTCTGTTTCAGACCTGCAGTTCATCTATGCATTTATAAGGCTACATCTGGTTACCTCAGGATAACCTCTGCACAGGGAGAATTTAGGGATGTGGCTTAAAACACATGATGTAATTTTTAAATGTTCAAAGCAATGTGGCGATGAGCCGAACGTGAAAAGACAGTGAAAAGATAATTTGGGAATCAATGGCCTCTTAGATGCTGAATTACAGCTCAGGCTCTGAGAGGCAGTAAATTAGCACGGCCGCGGGTTTCTCCCCTCGCCTGTTAGAGCGCCGCCACGCTTTGATTCACCTGATCTATAATCACGAGCAGACACGGTGCCCTTTCATCTCTATTGGCTTTTTAACATTCTGCCATTTTGCTCCCCTGCCTCTTTCATTTCAGCGAGGTCCTGTTGATGAGACAGCTGGCGTCAAATGGCTTTTTCACATCAGCCTGCCGCCACAACTGGAGGCTGCTCCCGCTGCTGGGAGAGCGCCGTGCAAATTGCGTAAAAAGAGGGTGAAGACTCACTTGGGCAAGACGAGGACCTGCACTACGAAAATGCAGCAGAATATGAGGCAGGCGCAGGTGACATAGTACTTGAAGGCAGGTAATGTGGTGGATCTGTACTGTTGGGAGAAGTAACAAAGCATATTATTACATACGTGTGTAAAAGACAGGAACAAGGCACAGAAACAAGAAATATTCATACGAACAACTTTTCTTTCTAATTCTTTAGCAATGATTCCTCCCATTGATTTCTCTCCCAGCCACAGTTTTGTATGTACTCGCCTACCTCCTTCTCCAGAGCTTTGTTGTGAAAGAACAATGAGATCCTCTGGATGTCCTCAGACTTCAGCCATTGCCTGGAGACACAAGTGGAGTCGACAGAGAAGGAAAGTCAATCCCCTTGATGGCTTTTTACAGGCTGATAGTGTGGGTGGAATAACTTTCACCTTCCTTGATTTTCTTGGGAAGAACTAAGACAGGTTTGAGAACTTTGCAAAGTTTTGATGCTTTATCCAATTTTGCAGAGTTCCAGGAAGCATTCATAAAACATTATGAGAATGAGTGTAAAAGGTGGGGTAGGAGTCTTTTTTGTCATATTGCTTGAACTGGTATGTACATACCAGTGGAAACCATTGAATCAAATGTTTTGTCAGATAAAGGAATAATATTAATTGCCAATAAATCCTGGAAAAATCTCATCTAATCATTGTGAATTTTCCATTTTAAAGGGATACTATGAAACATTTGCATATTTTCAAATCATTGTCTTGAGCCTGCTTGTGCTAAAATCACCCTTTAAAACGTTACTCAGACCCCCACTGCCCTGTTTGACTAGAATATTGCACTTTCAGCTTCAGAGTGCCGCTCCTGTCCTTAGGTTCCACTTTAGTCTTAGTAAAGTGGAAACGGCATGCCTGGAAATGGAGTCTGCTTCCAGAGCGTTTCATGCTAGTTTTATATCATGAACACAGCCTATTTGTTTGATTTATTGATGAATCACTCCTGTAGACACCAATGAAGGCTGAGGAGACATTACAGCTGTTAGATTAAAGTGTTAAAAAGATGAACACACTCCGAGGAGATAAGTTTCACTTTTGGTTGCACTAAGCAGACACTAGAGGGTGCTAAAAGCAAGCCAAACTGCCTAGTATCCCTTTCAAGTAGCACTGTGTAGTTTTTACCATTAATCTCTGGAAATATCCATTGAAAATTTGTAGTAAATGAAATAAAAAAGATACCCAGTTGTTGAAAAATATTGGTGGTTTCATAACAAAAAGCCATAAACATCAGGTCTAAAATACATGGGAGCGGGTCTAAGTCTCTTGACGATGCCATATTCGATGCCATGCTTCCTTCTACGGAAGTCCATGAGGACAGAAATTTGTAACAAATATTTACAAAACCTTCAGCATTAATAAACTTTGTTCTTTTACACATTAACCTCTTGCAAGTGATGAAAGGGAATCTGATGTTCTTGTTATTTTGCTGAAGGTTGCACTCCCAAGGATTTTTGACCCTAATGGCCATCTGTTGGAAAGGTCTTGAACACAAAAATAATGCTTGCTTGCAATGATTTACGTATCTACTGCCTCCTATCACCAGGGAAAATACACACTGTCACTTTAACGATTGGATTCTAATCCATCAAACTGCCCTCTGACCATCCCCCTCTCTTGGCACATACCCCTCAATGTCCACGAATCGTTTGTTCTCACCTTGGAGCAGCTGAACAGGAAGCAAAGCTAGATCCTGGCTATCTTTGGTGTGTTCTTGCTGTATTGAAATCCCTAATTCCATCTTTTAGTTCTTTTTAAAACACAGAAAAGTTTGATTTACCTGCAACATTTCGAAATGTCAAAGCATTGCTGATGTTGGTGGCGCCGTAAACACAGACGAAGTGACAGCGCCAACATCAGCAATGCTTGGACCAAAGCGACAGATGGTAGTCGCCGAAACTGTCAGTAAGAAGGTAACAAGCTCAGCTTCTCTGTGTATAGAAAAGAACCGATAAAAAATGAAATACTATAAGTCTTTCCCTGAGTGGAAGTCGTGCAGGGGTTTTTAGTGTAGGACACTCAGTCCTTACTGCTGGATCTTCAATCCAGGTCTCAGTGGTTTCTCACTCTTAAACTTTCAGCAAGAACAGAGTCCGGAGAACTTCTGACCACCTCGGGACTATGGTGAGTCTGTCAGAAACCTGGGGCTCATGTAGGTGCCTCACCTTAGGAATTATCCTTAGGAAGGTCCCAGCAACTGGTCAAAACCAGTTTATTTAGTGTTTGTCTTGTGTAATTACTGCTGCAATATGGAAATGGGTTTTAGATGAAGAGCAGACTAAAGACGATGGTGTGTGACCAGCGATTAGTGAAGAATCAGAGATAAAGGTCATGTACTTCTGTGAGTTGATGCCATCGATGGTGCGAATCATTCGTTCGTTGAGTTCTTCCTCGAATCTTCTCCTCTGAGATTTGGATCTTGGATCCAAAAGAAAGGACAAACATTTGAGAAAATAGAAAAAAAAATTCGTACACAGCCTAAATGCATTTTGTCTCACCTCTCTCGTCTTTGGAAATGGTACTGTCCCATGGGAACGTCCTATGACATGAAACACACCGTTAAACATGGTGAAATTCCCTGATGTGGGAGCAAGAAGAGATGATGGTTTCCCACCGTAGTGTTGATCTTGCCATTGTCTGCAGTCATGCTGTCTCGATGGTGGAGATTAGCGAAGGGTTTGGCTGCTCCCCAGGACTCTAGGTATCGGGTCATCCTGACAGACGCCCTCATTTTCCCACCATCCAGAGAGGGTCGGGAACGCACGCCAAGCAGTGGGCTGTACCTCTCCGTCTGGGAAAATCAACAGGAACAGTGGCAATTGTAACATTTGCAGTCTAATTTGGAAAATTTTAAAAATCCAAATTTTTTCATCAAATATAAAATGTATGGAACTAGGATTGGAACAATATTACATTTAACTTGTACCAAGTTTTGTAACTGTGACTTGTTTTGTAGCATGTAATTCACGTTTTGTAACACGTAACTTTCGTTTTGTAACACGTATCTTTTGTTTTGCAACACGTATCTTTTGTTTTGTAAAATATAACTTTTGTTTTGTAACAGGTAATTTAGTTTTGCAGCATGTTTTTCTCATTTTGTAACAAGAAACTTTTGTTTAGTAACTTGCATTAAAAAAATCTATGTACAAGTGTTAAATCACAACGTTCAAACCACAAATCTCAGTCTACAGTTACAAAACTCAAGTCTACAAGTAAAAAACATTTTGTCCCAATTCTAGCTTGCTTCCAACAGGAATGGTCTTGGAAACCAATCCAAGACTCATGATCGGCTGGTCAGACAAAACCTGACATTGGTTCTTTGGGAAGGAAGCTAGAATTGGGACAAAATGTTTTGTACTTGTAGACTTGAGTTTTTTTTAACAGTAAACTTCAAGCTTCCTTCTGGAGTATTTTTCTTATCCAATGGCACCATCTAGTGGCTGACAAGCGCATCACACAAAAACGCTGTTCCTCTGTTTTTTTAAGATGGCGACGTCACATTTCTATTTATAAATGTGCTTCTGTAGCCGACAAACAGAGCTAAATCATGTTGTTTTACGAGTATTATTCTCTTGTCATGTTGTGTTTTCATATATTTATATTTTAGAGACTTTCTTGTCCGTGAAAAGTTCATCGACTCTGCATCAGCCGAGGTATTCCTTAAATTTCAAGCATATAAGCGGTAGTCTAACGCTATTGGTTAGTTCTGGTAGGTGCTCAGTTTCCTATTGCACGGAGCTCTGCCGGATAGGGGGCGTGCTTAGCAAAAAAATAAAAAATAAAATACATATTGTTTATATTATATCACAGTACATGATAAGATAATCACTTTTACGGATTTCTGACAAATCATACATTATTTCTGAAAGAGGAAAACTCCGGAAAGCTACTTTAAGTTTTGTAACTGTGGACTGAGATGTGTGTTTTGAGAGTTGTGATTTGAAACTTGTACATTGATTGTCTTCTGCAAGATACAAAATGAAAGTTACCGTAAATCCTCTAATACAGGCCCGGGTTTGACTCAAGCTCATCAAGCTCCAGGCCTTTATTGGAAGGAGGACCAGAATTAGAGGCAGGCCTCTATTTCTATTTGAGCAAAATGAACTAATGGTTCGTTGGAGTTTCTGACAATTAAAATTGCGCCCACATTTTCAAAGTTAAACACATTTCTTTTAACAACGGTAGTTTCTGCTTCAGCCCTCTCCCCCCTCCCCCTGCGCAGCGGCCGCAAACTCACTGATGCGCCTGCAGCCTCTCGGAGTTCCTGCTGCTCTAAACATTAAAATAATGATTTCATTTTCTGTTCCTCACTTCTGATTACCTTCAATGGTGTCTGTTTGTTGCAACCAGCAGGTACAAAAACTAACTTGTTTTTATTTGACTATTTTTCTGTCCTGCCTGTTTATTATCTTCCTGCATCTCCTCTCAATCCTAAAGAAAAACTGCTACCTGGGTTCATACATATTCACCTTATGAGTTACCTTTCAACTGCAGTTCTAAAAGATCTACCGACCGCAAAAACAGCGGAGTGCACGCCGGCCACATCAGTTAGGTGCGTCACCGAGGACAAAACAGGTGATGCGCCCCGCTCCACAGCAGCGAAACACATCAGGCACAAATAAAAGACAGAAAACATAAAAGGAAATGAGCCGACATGAACGATCGTGTGTTAAATTTGTTTTTGAGGTGGCGACACCTGATTTGATAATGTTACTGTGGCCGTGCTCAGGACGCAGATGTCTGGAGCGCGTCAACAATCAGAGCTTTGCATGCGCAAGCTGGTTAAGGTTAGGATGGGGGTGAGGGGAAGGTTAAATTGCAAGAGGGTAAACGTCACAATTTGGTTAAATGTCCGTTTTACAGTGGGTGTCAGTACCGACGCTCTGGCACAGAGCGTTGCCTCCCGACGCGCAGGAGCTTGTCACTTGCTGACAGCAGGCTGCTGTCTTTTCCAAGGACTGCATCCTGCCGGTCATTATCACGTGACAGCGACTAGTCGATGACAGGCATAACAAGTCACTATAGAGTGGTGAAGTCGACTAGTTCATACAACCCCTACTGCTCCCCAGAGTGTTCTGCAGCATAATCAGCACGTTCTCTTTGAACTTGATATCAAATTTTCGCCTCCTCTTTGTCTCCGCACGGTTAAAGTTACCCTCGCGGTCTGTCACTGGCAAATCAAAAGTGAGACGGATGACACAACCGCCCCCCGTACTTGCTTGTTACCACATTCCACCCGGCTACAATAAAAAAACGGCCATTATTCACCTCCGCCGACTCCGACACCGGCCAAAATATGATACCCAGCAGTTAATTAAATACAGGCTAATATTAGAGGATTTACGGTACATGTTACAAAAGGAAAATTAAATGCTACAAAATGAAACTTAAAGTTACAAAACATGTTACAGGTTGCAAAGCTTGGTACAAGTTACATGTAATATTGTCCCTATCCTAGTTCCATAAAAAGGACTTCTGACAGTGAGCTTAACCTCAGTGGGAGGGACTGGGTCAATCCTGACAGCTCTGACTCGCTCGTTTGTGTTTTGAGCTACTTTAAACACTTTTGCTAACAACGGATGCAGCTCTCTTTTTGTTGTATGTGAGGATTTTTTCCCCTTGTGGTAAACAGAACTCTACTTTGAGAGGATGACAAGTGGCGTGCCTCAGGCGATTTATTTTAATTGCTCAGAGAGACGGTGAATGTGATTGTCACTGACCAAACTCGGCGCATATGCCTTCAGGAAGCGGTAACAGACACAGTTTGTGGTGGCAGAGGTTATTTTCAGCTCTGACACTGACAGCTAATGACAGTGACGGTGGAAATGACACCTGCTGTGATCCGGGCGCCATATTTGGCCCGAATTCATTCACAACATCCTGCAAATTAGGGAGAGGCAGCTGCACATTAATTTTCTTCACATTTGATCAAGATGTTGAATCTGTAAACGTTTTATAAAAACTAGCAATCCTGAGAGAATCGTATGTCACTTGCTGCCTCAGATGGCAGACTGGAAATTTAAATTATCTTGTGACACAAGGAGCTGTTTTAGTCAAATTTTAAGCACTTTAAGGTACATTTTGTTTAGTTTAAGCTTTGTTTCATTGATAAAAATGGCCCAAAGACTATTATGGTTTCTGTATTTATTATGAAAAAAAGTTTTCAGAAAAGTTTAAGTCCCATTAGTAATCGATTGCTGGTGAAATTACTTCTCTGCATTTGACCCATCCCCTGGGGGATCGATGAACTGCAGCAGTGGCTGTGCTCGGGAACTATTTAGTGTTTTAATCCCCAATCCAACCCCATAAAGCTGAGTGTCAAGCAGGGAGGCAATGGGTCCCTTTCATAAAGTCTTTGGCATGACCCGACATGTTTTGAACCCTGATCTCCTAGTCTCAGCCGGGAACCTCTACCTCTAGGCCACTGAGAAACTACGCTAATTTAAAGAGCAAGTCACCCCCAAATCTACTTTTTTGCTGATAAATTATATAAATGAGTGTCTAACTGTGCTGTAGACATGTGTTGTCAGTAATTTGGCATTTTAGTGCATTTTAGTTAAAATTTAAATACTCAGCCTAAAACTGTCAGCGCCCTCTTCAGGTAAAAATTCTGCACTAGATTTGAATTTAAATCTGCCTTCGCTATTGAATAAGAGGTCTGCATGGCGGCGCAGTGGTTAGCACTGTTGCCTCGCAGCACGAAGGTTGCAGGTTCAAAACTCGGCTACGGCCTTTCTGCGTGGCGTTGCGTGTTCTCCCCATGCATGCGTGGATTTCCTCTGGGTACTCTGGTTTCTCTCACAGATCACAACATGCCCTACAGGTTATAAATTGTAAGTCGCTTTGGATAAAAGCATCTGCTGAATGAATAAACATAAACATAAGAGGTACCCTATGATGTTAGCTGGTAAAATATGATGTCACAATACTGTTGTGAGCCTGTGTGTGTATTTGTTAGCGGCTCCGCCCTCTTGGTCTGCCAGGCAATGCCTCCTTGTGGCACATTTTTCAAACAGGAAATGAGAGTTAGACTCTGGTAGGGGGTGACTTGCTCTTTAAGGAAAAACAATCAAATTTAATTATTAGAAAAAAATTGACATCATTAACCAACATTTGTGTTTCTATTTCACGTATTGTTACATTCTGCAGAACGACTTCTTTATGATAATAACATCGTGTGAATGACGGATGTTAATCCAATAGTTTCAACATTTAGAAATTACAGTCAAGGCTAAAACTGCTGCTTAATTATTGAACGCGTATTTCCCCCCAGATTTACATTTACAGCTGAAAAGCTGAATATACGAGACACACGTGTGCAACAGAAATTCACATTTTTCCCTTCTGGATGTTTTCCTCACAAATCCTAAATCTCACAACGACGTTTCGGCATCAGCGGAGGACGCCTGTAGGACGATGCTTTTCTAGCTGATAATATAGTAGGAGGGTTTTTTGGGCTGAATTATGTTCAGGATTTAGAAGGAACAGGACTGTAAGAGCATGGCTTTTTTTTCTGTTGTCAAGCCAAACAGTCTGAGCACCTTCTGGATGCCAGCAGCATCATTCCAAATAGAGATGTCCTCTGCAGGGTGTTTACAGACAAACAGAGCCCTTAAACGTCCTCAGTCAGACCTCAGTGTCCTGTTTTGTCAGGAGGATGCTGCAGAGTGTTGCAATCCTTTCACAAAGCAGAAAAGGTGACGTTAAACATAATCCTCTCAGTGTGGAGAGACTGACCAGCCACCTGCCAGAGTCTGATAAGATTCAGCCACTGGTGCGCCGCTGCATTGTTTAAGATTTGACATTGTTGCTATTTATTAGCAGGACATGGTTGAATGAAAAGATTGTTTGTGTGTGTGTGTGTGTGTGTGTGTGTGTGTGTGTGTGTGTGTGTGTGTGTGTGTGTGTGTGTGTGTGTGTGTGTGTGTGTGTGTGTGTGTGTGTGTGTGTGTGTGTGTGTGTGTGTGTGTGGTCTTGACCAACCATCACACCACTAATCCTTTTATGTAGGTACTGACTGAACTGCAGTTTTTCACAGTTTTGTAGACTTAATGTTGGTTCAGTAAAGTGTAAAGTGCACCTAATGCTGGATATGACTGGATATAATTATTTAATAAGTGATTTCATGCTGTTTTTAATATTTCAGGCACCGTATACATGGTTAAATATTAATGTTGCAGCCCTGAGGACGTGTATGGATGGTCCGCTGAAGTAGTGGCTGTTTTTCTGGGAGTTATTCATCCCCAAAACAAGACTCACAGGTGTCTCCGAAGCTGTTGACGTGATAGGATCTAACCTTGGGGTTGATGACCAGGTAGGTGATGACGTTATGTTCTTTCAGGTAGGAATCTCTACTCTGTCCATCTCCAGACTCCACCTTGTACGAGCCTTTCAAATGCTCCAGCGTCACTGAAGAGATGTGGACCCTCCTGGAGATAAGTAGGTGGACAGATAACGGGAGGTGAAGCTCTTGCGTCATCGTGCTGTTGACAGCTATAGAAAACACATTATTTGTTTGACAGCTCTCTAACCACTCGTGCCTGCAATTCTCTCTTTTCATCTCAGTTTGTTTCCCTTGCCAACAGATGCAGAAAAAATTTTAAATAACTTTTTCTGTTTTATTTATTTATTTTTTCTCCTGGCAGATATGGTTTTCAGATGCCTCTCAGCAGGCTTAGTGGGAGGCGACCCATTAGCTGCCCGGTGAGACAACATTGTGGTACTAGAGAGCTTATTATCAGAGCAGTGTATACCTATCCACTGGCCAATTTTCACAAGCTTGTTTCAGAGCCTGGCTGGCACACCTAATAGCTACCTAACTAATGCAGCGCTACTTGGTCAACTGAGATAGCAATAATTTACAAAAATATTTATAATAGCTGTAATTATAACAGACTTCTCTCATGTTCCAAGTGCTTCTGAAAACAAGGATGATGTGAAACCTTTGTAAAGGGGTGAATTTTTAGACATTTTATCTTGTTTGTAGTCTAAAAAGAAAGAAATTCTTCTCTAGAAAAATAAAATGTCTTAAAATATGGTAAATGTTCTTAAATATGATCCAAATTAGCTTGTTTTGACTAAAAAAAATATCTGCCAATGGGGTAAGCAAAATTTGCTTGGCTAGAAATCTTAAAACTAGCTAAATAATCTAATTTTAGGTTTATGTGCTAGTTTTAAGATTTCTAGCCAAGCAAATTTAGCTTACCCCATTGGCAGATATTTTTTTACACAAAACAATGAAATTTGGATCATATTTAAGAATTTTTACCATATTTTAAGTAGGGATGCACCGATACTGGTATCGGTATCGGTGCAGATACAGATACCAGTATCGGTATCGGTAAAAGTTGATACCAGTAACTGATACCAATGCAGTTGCTTGAAAGTCATTTCTGTTCACCTAATATTTTAGTTTTGTGATCATTTATATTAACATATTTTACTTTTTATCTACCTCACAGTATTTTCCTATTGAAAACAGAGAAGAAAATAAAACCTGTATTCCAATTCATTGCATTTTTTGTGTGTGGTAGAAGTATCGGTATCGGTAATCGGTATCGGCGAGTACTCAGATCCAGGTATTGGTATTGTATCAGTTTGGAAAAAAGTGGTATCGTTGCATCCCTAATTTTAAGTCATTTATTTTTCTAGAGAAGAACTTTTTTCTATTTAAACTAAAAATAAGATAAAATTTCAAAAAATAAGGATTTTGTACTTTCTTAGAAATCAGGTTTTGTAGTGGAGCGCTAAGCCATTTATTCTTGTTTTTTTTTATTATTCCAGTAATCTTACCCTGGCACTCCCCCTGCCTCCATGTGATTGGCTAATGTTACGTCATGTGACCACACGTCGTACTGCCACTTCCTGAGGCCGATCACTCCACACAGGACGTTTCCAGAGTGAACGCCAACGCGCATGTTGATGTCAACTCCGGTGGCGTCTCGGACCTTTCTGCGGAGAGCAGGGAACGGAATATTTAGGTTTCTGTTATGACAGAAGGCAGGAGGAAACACAAGTTCTAGTTAAAGAAAAGAGAAAATTAATGATTAAATAGAATTTTTGGCCATTTCGATGTGAACAATTATACATTTTTACCATCTTATTCATTGGGGGGTTCCTGAATCTTCTCATTTTGGAGAAATTTTGTGTTTTTAGAGATTTTTCCTCTCATATGAAATGTTTACATGAAGTACTTTACAAAAAGATCAGAATATGTGATGCATATGCATCACTAAGAAAACTATCCTCTTGAATTGGGAAAATAGAGAAACTCTCTGCATCAACCAGTATAGAAATCTTTTGTTAGATCATATTACACTTGATTTAGCCTCTGCTTCTACTTCAAATCAATCTCTCTGGGCTCCCTTGATCGGTTCTATCACATAGCGAGGATGGGGGACCGTTGATGTTGTCCTGCGGGATGATGTGTGTGTGTGTGTGTGGGGGGGGGGGGGGGGGGGGGGGGTGTCTGAGTTTGGAGTATCCGGATGTTCCCTGGGGGTGGGTTCACTGGGGGGTGTCTGGGACTGCAGGGCCGTTGCCCCCCTCTGGAGGTGCTTGGGTTGCCTTGGGGGGTGGACTACTGGCGGTTGTGAGTGGGGCCCCTTGGAGGTCTTGGCGGTGGCCATGGGTTATTGCCCGGCGGCTGCAATGCCCCTGGGCGGGTCTGGGGGCTCGGGGTGTGGGGGTGGCCGGCCCCGTGGGGGGATCTGGGCGGGGCCTTGGGGGTCAGGTCCTGACATGTATGCTGCCGGGGAGAAGGCAGGAACATACAGCAGTGCCTGACTCAGGTTCAGGGGCCTCGGGTAGACCTTGGCTCCTCTGCTGTCCCATCACAGGGGAGGGGGAGGACCCAACCTTACCTGGATGTCCTACGTCTTTTATTGTCCGGAAGTTGTGCAAATGCAGGGATGGGCGTAGATATTCTGCTGGGGTAGGGCTGGGTTGGTGCCCTCGGGCTCCGTGAGGCTCTGTGATGCTGCTGCTTTGGGCCCTGGCAGGATGGGCTGGGGTCTCCATGCTCTGGGTGGCATTTTGACAACAGAGGTGCCTATTGGGGTCAGTTGGGGAGCTGGCTCCCTGGAGGGCTAAGCCCAACCAGCCATTCCTCCCCATCCCCACACATTTCTCTCCTCCTGCTCCCTCACATCATCACACAAACATGCACATAGGACCTTGGGGGGTGGACAAGTCAGGGAGTGTGGGTATGGACCCCATTTCCACATTCCTGTGGCAACCTGCCCCCCAATTTTATTTGCACCTTAAACACTTCCACCAACGACATTCCACGCAAACACACACTTAGGGCCTTGGGAGTGAGCACATTCAACAGCATTTGGCAGGGGGATTTCTCAGCCTCATCCCAACTGCCGGTGCCCACTTCAAATTTTAAACCGCACTTAGACACTGAGGGCTGTGGGTGCAAGTGAGGTGGTGTGGTGGCATCAGCTGGCATAGGCTAGACAATGTCCGCACTGCCCGCTTACCACAGCCACGGAATACACCTCATCAACACTCACTAACACCATATTGGAGCAGGCAGAGGGAGACTAGGGGTCTTAGCACACCTCTGTTGTCGCTTGGCTTCCTGGGGCTGGAGGCTAGGCGGGAGATCTGGCCATCCGGTTGGGGTCTGGGGTGGTGGATTGCTGTGCTCAGCCTTGGGCGGGGGAGCCTGGTCATCAGCACCCCAGCAGAAAGGGTCGAACGCTTGGAACGGGTAATGGTTGTACCCAATGTGCAGCAGTACCGGGACCAGAGTGAATAGGGTGTGTATGGGGAGCATGAGTGGGTGTCCGACGTGCATTTTTGTAAGTCTTTGGTTGTATGAGTGTGTGTTGAGCATGAGGGAGGGAGTGTGTGACTGTGTTTGTGTGACTGTATATGTCAGGTGGAGCCTTTGACTCCTCCCTTCTCCTGGGACTTCTTTTGATGATATAGATCTTCGTCTCCCCTCCCCCTGCCACACCTGGTGTGGGGTGTGGTGCCTTGGTCTGTCTGGGTTGCAGCTCCCGGGTCAGGGAGTTCAAGATTTTTGGCATCTGCCTGACCAATCCCGGTGGCTGCCTGGTGGGGTCTGGGTCCCTGGGCTCTGCTGGGTCCCCGGCGGGGGTGGTCGCCCCTGGGTCCCGGGTCATTGGGTCCCGGACTCGGCCGGCTAGGGGGTGGGAGGCTGCGGGTGGGCCTGTGGGCTTGCCGCCGATATCTCCTGGGACTCTGCCGGCTGCTGGTTGTGGCCCCCCAGGGCGATCCTCTGTACCTCTCGAGGGGAGCGGGGGCTTTTCTGGTCGCAGTCTCCATGGAGTTCCTGTGCTCTGGGGCAGCTCCTGGATCTCTGGGACTTGGAGCTCCCCCCGTCTCCTGCACATCTTTAGGGGGCAGATCTGTGGTCCCTCACACTCTCTATTGGACGCTCCTATAGAGAAACCTTACATAAACAAGCGCGTGTACACACACAGGTGCTCACATGGTGCTCTCATAAGTATGGACTTGGGCACGTTCAACACAGGTCTTAAGACTATGGTGGGCACTAAATGCACTGTGATTTATTATCGTGTGATTGTTCAGTTAAACAATGTTGATTATATATTTCTTCATCAAGTTGACGCAGTGATAGCTTGATCTTGTTGTATTGTTGTTGTGTCCCTTTTTTTTCCTCTTCTCTCTCTCCGCAGGTCTAGAAGCAGACTTTTGTTCATTATTGTTTATTTTTGTGGAACCCCCCATCTTTTGTCTCTTCCTTTCTCTTTCACCTCTGTCTCCGTGTCTGGTCGGAATTACAAAGCATTCAAAAACAATAACAATAAAGTTTTAAGTATCAGGTGTGACATTAAAAGCAAACGCTGTGATGCTCCACCTGAGAGTAAATCTGTAAGGCTTGTCACCAGCATTCAGACATTAATTCTGTTTGCTTCACAGCCAGACAGGACACACACAAAAATAAATAAATAAAATAAAATAAAAAAGATCAGAATATGTGAGATGTGATGGTTTCATGAAACTAAAACTCTTGTGTTTAGTTTTACTGATCTAACAGCCTGCATCAAGGGACCTGGTACCCCATGCTCCCAGAGTACCCCCAACGGCCACAGCTTTAGTCAGCCCCCTCAACAATAGAGGCATGGAACATGGCCCCCTCGGACTCAGTGTTCTAGCCCCCTCTGGGACATGACCAAAGTTCTGCTGGAAGTAGGAATTGAAGCTCCTTCTGACAGGAGACTTCACCAGACTCTCACAATACGGTTGGTCCTGCCAGGTCTGACCAGCATCCTCTCCTGCCATCGGCGCCAAGTCACCACCAGATGTTGGCCAGTAGACAGCTCCGCCCCTCTCTTCACTCCAGTGTCCAAGACATACAGCCGCCACAGCTTGGGCCGCATTGCGAAACGTCGGTCATGCCTGTTTCCGGTGGGAGTTGGACTCCTCTAAGGCTGCCCTCTGTCTTCGGCTCTGTTCATAACGTTTATGGGCAGGATTGCTATTCGCAGCCAAGGTGATAAGGGGATCCATTTTGGTGGCCTAAGGATCAGGTCTCTGCTTTTTGCAGATGGTGTGGTCCTGCTGGCTTCATCAGGCTTTTGCTGGAGCAGTCCACAGCCAAATGAGGCAGTCAGTATGAGAATCAGCTCCTCTAAATCCAAGACCGTGGTCTTGAATCGGACAAGGGCAGAATGCCTTCTCCAGGTCAGGGAAGAGGTCCTGCCGGAGTTTAAGTATCTGGGGATCTTGTTCATGAGTGAGGGAAAGCTGGAGCAGGAGATCGATTGTCGGATTGGTGCTGCGTCTGCAGTGATGTGGTCGTTGTACCGATCTGTAGTAGTGAAGAAAGAGCTGAGCTCATCCCCTCACCTATGATCACGAGCTTTGGGAAGTGACCGAAAGAATGAGATTGCAGATACAAGCGGCTGAAATTAGTTTCCTTCACAGGGTGGCTGGGCTCTCTCACTTAGGGATAGAGTGAGAAGCTCGGTCATCCGGGAGGGGCTCGGAGTAGACCCGCTGCTCCTCCGCATCGAGAGATGCCAGTTGATGTGGCTGGTGAGATTTTCCAGGCACATTAAACTGGGAGAAGCCCTAAAGGAAGACCCAGGTCAAGCTGGAGGGACTATGTCTCTTGGCTGGCCAGGGAACGACTTGGGATTCCCCGGAGGAGCTGACCTAAGTGGCTGGGGAGAGGGAAGTCTGAGCCTCTCAGCTTAGGCTGCTGCCCCCATGGCCTGACCCCAGATTAGCAGATGGATGGAGGATTTAGTTTTAACAATTGCCTGAAATTCTCTTGTGATTCAACACTGACTGATATAAAGATGTTCCATGATCCAGAAGAAGACTGAAACTGTATAAAATGGTAACTAAACTGTTTTTGGCAGCATTCAGACTAGTCCTCTGTCGTGAAGGACAGAAACTCCATTTCCCTAAGCAGAGGCTGTTCAGATAGATATTTTAAAAGTAACTTTTCTAAAGAAACGCACATAAAAATGGCCCAGATATCCCCCAACACACAAAAAGCACCACATAGACCAAGCTGTGTCCACACACAACATAAAGCATTTGCTTCACACTAGAAATTTAGTTACTCACCTCAGAACAACTCAACATATTGACTGTGACTAAAGGAAGTATTTGTAAAACTGCTTTGTGTGTTTTCATGCATGAGCCAAAGACAAAGAGCAAAGGGGGGAAAGAGGATGCAGATAAACAACCATGTTTCTTCATTTGTTTGAATTTTCTGTTTGAGAGGCTTATCATGTTGAATCCACGCTGTGTTTACTCTGGAGTTTAAACAGAGCTGGGATTCAATCTGGTGTTCCTTCTGTTCGCTTCGGTTAACGGGCCTTGTGTTTTCTGTTGTGTCAGAGGAGGAAGGGTGAAACAGGAAGGAGGGAGGGATCTGGTATTTTACTTGATGGCCTCACACATATCCAGGCCCATCTTCACACAGTTCCTGGCGTGGTTAGGCAGCGACTCGGGCAGTCCGGACACGCAGTAATAACAGTCGCCTAGGATCTTGATGCGCATGCACTCGTTCTCCTGAAAGAAGAAGGAAGAAAACCACGAAGATCAAAATCTGGGGTTGCACTTCCATCCAGTCGTCACATGCTCAGAGTCAGGTCCATTGGGCCTCAAATACATACAACCCCTCACACACACACACACACACATGCACGCACGCACCCACTCACCCACCCCACACACACACACACACACACACGCACGCACACGCACACGCACACGCACACACACACACACACACACACACACACACACACACACACACACACATACATTCGCTCTTACTCTACCAGTGTGATGAGTAAGAGCTCATGGTTACACTGGTTTTACATAACGACTGCTGCAGGTGATGGAGCAGTCAGTTGGACTGTTTGGACCTCGATAGCAGAGCACCCATGGGAGATACACTCAGACCAGCCCACACACACACACACACACACACACACACACACACACACACACACACACACACACACACACACACACACATACACACACACACACACACATACACACACACACACACACACACACACACACACACACACACACACACACACATACACACACACACACACATACATACACACACACACACACACACACACACACACACACACACACACACACACACACACACATACACACACACACACACACACACACACACACACACAATCTGACAGTATAACAGGAACTGGGGTGCACTCATCTGGGTGAATGCCGGTTCTAACCAGGTTACCATGGAGGTTCCCCCCCCCCCCCCACCCCCCCCCCCCGACAAACGTGAACATTATCAAGTTGGTGAGATAAAAAGAGATGAATTGATGTCAACCTCAGATGATGGTAGCTAACAATCCCAAGTGAACCAAAACCAATTTCCTGACACGTTCATTATTTTCCATTAAATAATTCAACCTAAAACAACATATTAGAGTTTGATTAATAATGCAGTTCTAAATTAATGGTGATTTACAGCGTCATTAATGGATTATTTATCCAAACGCCTTCAAAAAAGATCTGAAATGTTTCAAAGAACGTTTCAGAGGACAAGACGCTTTCATTTAATACGCCACAGTGGAATGTTGCGTGATAATTGACCAAAATTACTCACTGAAGGACAGAAAAACCAACAAATGTTAAATCACTGGACCGAGAGAATAAACAGAACAGGTCAGAGGGTGTTTGTTAGAACTCTGACATTTTCAAACATCCTGTGAATTTCCACTTTAATTCCAGTTACCTTTGCAATCTGGTCAAATTTGCCAAAAAGTTCATTCAGCATGTGAACGAGTTCACCTGGAGAGCAGTCACTGGCCAGCCTGGTGAAGCCCACAATGTCTGCATAGAGAATGCTGCAGGAAGACAGACAACAGACCATGCATTGGGTTTAGTTTAGAATTACTGTAGTTCCAGATGGTGCATATCTAACATTTTCAGTCTGTTCAGCTGTTGCTGTTTAAGGCTGATGGACCTGGCTTTGCTTCCGTCAGGGCGCTCCAGGGCAGCTGTGACAACAGTGTTGCTCATCACTGCCAGCGTGTGACTGGATAAATGACTGATTGTGTTGTAAAGTACCTTGGGGGGTTGTAGAACCCTGGAAGGCGCTATATCAGGTCATTTTCTTTTCCTTCCATTCTGCTTCACCAGCAACTCTTCTAGTTTAACAAACAGCGTTTTTTTTAAAGCTGCTTACACATCTGGGTCAGTTAGGGTTAGGGAAGGATCACGTCTGTTTGGGATCGTACGGACGGGTTTGTTTCACGAAAGGCTCCCAACGACTTCTCAGGAATGCAGAAATCCCAGAGCACGTAGGTGGTGTCAAAGACGCTCGGAATATGGCGCGGTATGGGGGCCAAAATTAAGACTACTCCCCAGCAGCAGGAGGCTATATAAATTCTGAAGCAAACTACCAACCTGATTGATGATAAGCTGGTGCCGGTAACTGAGAGGCTGGTGCTGCTTACTGAGAAATAGCACCTTTACCGGCGTTACTACTAGATACACTAGGGACTAGAAGCCCTCGGCTGGTCACTGACTGGTTCACACACTCCCTCTGCTGTCTATTAGCATGGATAGGCAAGCGTTAGCCTGGACAGGCTGGTGTTAGCATTGGAGAGGCTAGCCATTAGCGTGCCTAAGCTGGCCACTTGCTGGATTTCCTACCCGCTTGACAGACCGTTAGCATGGATAGGCTGGCGTTAGCATCGGAGAGGCTAGCCATTAGCATGCCTAGGCTGGCCACTAGCTGACTAGTGACTCTCCGAGACATGCTAATGGCTAGCCTCTCCAATGCTAACACCAGCCTGTCCAGGCTAACGCTAGCCTATCCATGCTAATAGACAGCAGAGGGAGTGTGTGAACCAGTCAATGACCAGCCGAGGGCTGCTAGTCCCTAGCGTATCTAGTAGTAATGCCGGTAAAGGTGCTATTCCTCAGGAAGCAGCGCCAGCCTCTCAGTTACCGGCGCCAGCTTGTCATTAATCAGATCAGTAGTTATCTTCAGAATTTATAAAGCCTCCTGCTGCTGGGCAGTAGTCTTAATTTTGGCCATACCGCGCCATATCGGAAAAGTTTGTGGTGTTCTCCTTAAGATAAACAAAGGCGGGAGTGAGCTGTGTTGCTATTGGAGACTCTGAACCACATTAACCCCACAGCATTCCATCATCCTGCCAATGAGAAAAAAAACCCATTGCGTTCATTAAAGCTGGAAATTTAAGGAGTTAATTTATTAATCTGCTCCCTGTTCTGTGACTGATGCTGTGCGTGTCATCATAACCGTTGCTGCAGCGGAGGAGGACAGGGTGAGGACCAGACACGTCTCTCCTCCCTCCTCTGTTCTCCTCTCTTCCCTCTGTCTGCCGCCATGCTGGAGCAGGAGCTCTGTGCTTTATGTTTACTGGACAGAACCCGGGAAGAAACAGAACCGAGCATGTGTGAAATCCCGCTGGGCCTTGCTGGTCAATTCTACTTTCCAATCAGAGGTGGTAGGCATGAAATTCAGCCAGCCAATCAGTCCATAGTGTCACCAGACCTTAGTCTCAGCTAGACCACAGAGGAAGAGGTCTGAAAAATGTCCACTCAGAGCAGGAAAAAGTACATTTGAACCAGACGTGAAACCAAATTTGCTTCCTGAACTGGTCCGTACTGACCCAGAAGTGAAAGCGGCTTTGGTGACATCTGCTGATGTCATTTCCTGAGTTACAACCAATCGGCATGAATTAACCACAAGTCTCGTTCAGCGACTCTACCGTTTCCGAGTACTCATTTGGTCCTTGAATTGGCCCTGATTGATGAAATGGGGACACGTATCCCATGAAGGGCAGGCAAAGTTACGTTGAAATCTGATGGTGGAAACAGACCTAATGGTAAAATTTCTACCTGATGCATCCAAATCAAACCAACTCCTGCATTTGAGTCTGAGAAAAAAACTGTGCGCCAGACCGTGTGGAACTGTTATTATCGGAGGAATAATAGGCAGATCAACACACTAATGCTCCACATTCACCTAAACTCACACCGTTGAGGTCAGAGATGGACACTGATGCTGGCTCCAGCATGACGTGAAACAGCTTTTCTGGGGACGAGGATAAATGAGGGAAAAGATTTGTGCACTCAGACCTGCTACTGTTACACTCCCCATCGCAGAGGAAGCTACAGTTGAAAATTGAGCTAATCTGAGGCTAAACCCTCCCCTTAAATTTGGCCAAGTGACCTCCGAGTAAAATGGAGGCAGGTTAAATCTCAATTGAACTTCGCTGTGAACAAGAGGGAGGGTGAGGAAGTTCTGAAGTAAAAGGGGAAAAAATAACAGAAAAGAAAATCTGACAGCAGAGAGGGGAGGACAAAAGAGGACAGCGGGTGAGGATGAGGGGGAGGACAGGATGGCAGCGGAGCAATCAGGCAAAAAGATGAGAGCAGAAAACAACCTTTTTATCTGGAGGCACAGATAAAAAAGAAACAGGAGGAACTTCACCTGACGTTGGTGTGCCGTTGCACGTAGAGGTTGTGAAAGTTGTTGGTGCTCTCGGTGCGACCAAAGTTTGGTCCCTGCAGCCTCTGGATGATCTCAGCTTTCATCACTCTGGCGATGTGAGCCGGCAGCAGGGACAGCAGCAAACGCTCCTGGAGAGGGAAAGAGCTGCATCACACTCTGCAGCTTCCTGTACTTCTGAAGATTATTTACAACACCTACAAGAAAAAGTTAAAGCCGCTCATGTTCTGACATCATATTCCTCTTTCATGACTGCGTTCCTGCTACAAATAGGAGGTTAAATGTTGTTAGATCTGACAGAAAGAGGAATTTGACTTTTTGGGAGCAACAAACTTTATCTTTAATAATAGATCCAAAGACCTATTGAAGGGTAACGTATCAGGCGTGTCTAACGTCTTGTTTTTAGTTCTGTTCTGCATCTTTTCCTGTTCTATATTAACATCCTGAGCAGGTCTTCATGGTTAAATCCCCTGAATGATTTTGTAGCGTTATAAATCAGGAAGCACTTAGGGCCAACGCCAAACACGGAAGAGCAATGATCATTAATGACTCTGCACTGATTTATAATTAAGAAAAAGCCATTTGGGTGGAAAGAAAATGTGTTTTTTGGTTCATCATTTATTCTAACATGGTTTATAAGCCCTACCTGAGGAGTGAGGAACACCTGGAGCTTCCTGTCAAAGGTGCCTAGGTTAGGGAAAGGTTTTGAAACATCCCGTATTTCTTTAATGACTTTTCTAAAAAATAAATAAACAAAAGTCCTGATTCAACATTTTCACGCTGGGTTTTGTCTTTTTTTTTTCACCGATTTCCTGCTCTGTAAATCTATTTTCTTTCGTTCACGGCACATAACTCAGATTTATGGACAATTCAGTCATTCACAAACACTCAGAGCAGGTTTTTGTGGCTGTCAGACTCAAATTCAAGCACTTCTCAAGCCCTTTCAATGTGAATATTCAAGATGTTTCTGCACCTGACTGAGGTGATAAGTTTGGATTGTTTTCTCACTTAATAAGAGCAAATGTTACTGTGCAATAAAGAATTTCTGTTTCAGTCTGAAGCACTTTTAAAGCCTGATGAAGATTCAAGCATTTGTAAGCACCTGTATGATTCAGTAGCAGAAAACGTAGCAAAAATCTAATTTTAAATCAGATCTTTAGTCAATTTCTTACTGAGCTTTTGTCAGATCAGTTTTTGCTGTTTACTGAAGAGAAAACTTTAATAAAAACATTTACTTCTCTATTCATCCTGTCCTTTTTTAGTGTCTTCACTTTAAAGAAACCTGTTCTACACCCTTTAAACTTACACAATGCTGCTGGCTCTTCATGCACCAGAATGAGTCATGCCGTGGGTACTTTATGCTATAAATGATTCTTAGCTCAGTGTTAAAAAAAAGACTAATATCAGCTAACATCAACGTCTCCACACCAAATTCATACTTTTTCCCCATAATCAAAAGAAACCTGCAGAGTTGTCTCCTATAGAGGACTCAAAAAGATAACTAAATTTGTTGTCTTTATTTACTTATTTCATCATTTAGCAGGGTGAAGGTCACCTAAATGAACTACTATAACTTTGTTCAGTCCAGCCAAGGTCCTGTATATCGACGCAGCAACATCCACCCAATCGTGTAGTGTGACGCACTCAGCAGGCGCAGGACCCCGAGCCAATAGAGCACCCTGTGCACATCTAGTACCTAAAGCCTATAATTACTGCGTAATACTCTTATTATTATTATTATCTGGTTGAAACCAACCAAAACAGAAACCAGAGCATTTTATTGTTTAGTGAAAAATAATTTAGGGTGTTTCTCATTGCCAAGGAACCTTGCCTTGATGTATTGGCCCCACCCCGGTTGTCTAGGACATGCGTCATCAGGATCCGCCAAGGCGTGTTCCAATGTTCACCGAGGTGTCTGTCCTTTATTTGTTAGCCGTTTAGCTAGCCGAGCAAGGATACACAGGAGGGGTGGTTCTCAATGCAAAGAAACCTTGCCTTGATGTCTTGGCCCCGCCCTGCCTAGGAAATACGTCATTGGGAGCCACCAAGATGTGTTCCAGTGTTCATGTTCAACTGAGGCGTGTGTTCTCCGTTTGTTAACCGTTTAGCTAGCTGAGCAAGGATACATGGGAGGTGTCTCGTAGCCTAGCCTTGGTCAAAAATTACCCAGAATACACCTCTCCATTTTCAAAAGAATGGTGGATCAGAAGCCGGCAGATACTTTGGGGGTAAATTTCAAGTTTAAATGTAAGTCAACTAATTGTAGCTGATATCTGAAACAGCTTTTTATATCCAAAGCAGTTAGCCATGGTTGGTTGGTTGCTTAGTAGTTGCAGCTTCGGTGGCTAGCGGGTAGTAACTCGCTTACATATGTAATTTAACAAATATATACAAAATTTAAAAAAAAGGCTCTTTATATATTTATTTTGAAACTTATAAATACTCAATTGCAATAAAAAGCGTTATGTCCAAGATAAACGGAAGTCTGCAGCAGTACAAAGACCCTTTATGCCGCCATCGCCTAATCTTTTATAAAAAAAAACACGATTACGCCACATTACTGCCACGGTCTGACCACTTATAAATGATCTATGATTCCCTGATGCTGCCATGGCGTTGCGGCAAATTGATGGCACTGTTTTGTAAAAACGGCTTTAGTCTATGAGGATGTTTCAAACCAGCCGCAATGCAGCTATTTTCAGGCGCATTCCAGAAGTGCCACTCCCCACCGCTACAGATAGGATCAGGTTTTAGTTTTTGCCACAGGAAAACACACACAAGTTCAGTGTAAATTTCCTGGTAAATTTCAAAATAAAAGACTACTACATTGATGTAATTCCCTATCTATGTAGATTACATCAATGCTTGTGACCTAACGGCTTATTTACTTCCTGCATCATTTGAAAAGTGCAACATGGCTTTAATCCTGGCAATGGAGAGGAACAACATCATATATGACATCAAACGGTGATATCAAACATGATTCCTTCTGATTGGTTTAATCGCAGATTGCATACACAAACCGTAAATTTTGAAGTCTTGAGGGATTTTGTGATCGCGCAAGTCCAGCGAGAATTACAGAGGAAGGCATTGAAGCTCGCGAGTAAAACGTTCCGTGCTGCTGATGCTTCCGGTGTGAAATGGGGTAAGAATGCCATCCTGTGGTCAAAGGTCGGTACTGCAGTTCATGTTTAAAACCAATCAGTGACCCTTCATTTGCATTTGTGCAACACATTCTCACACCCTAAGCGTCGAAAAATGACGCGGGGTGACCAAGCACTCGTTTCCGACGCGTTCGGAGCCACAGCGTGTCGGGAGGTGACGCGCTGTGCCAGGGCATCGATATCCGACGTCCACAGTAAAACAGATTTTACCGACATTTCACCTTTAATCTCTAGCGATTTATCCTTCCCCTCACCCCCATACTAACCTTAACCCTGTTTGTTAGTCTAAATTTTCCATTAACCGTGTTTGAGAGGAATGATGAAACGCGAGAAAAAAGCTTTGTACGTGCAAGCTGGTTAAGGTTAGGATGGGGGTGAGGTGAAGGAAGTAACAGGGTAAAGGTCACAATTTGGTCAAATGTTCGTTTTACTGTGGGCATCGAAAACCGACGCTCTGGGGTTCCCAACGCGTCAAAAACAAATGCTTGGTCACCCCGCGTCATTTTTCGACGCTTAGGGTGTGAGAATGTGTTGATTTGTGAGTTGGATAGCTGTTGCCAGAAGACAAGCCAAGACGAGTCATACGCTGTGCGTTAATATCAAGTTCTTTGTAATTGAAAAGGTAGCCTGGGATTTTTTTTAGAGCTGAATATTTTTTTCTAACCATTATATCTGTTAGCTCAATGTTAGCTTTCCTTCTCTACCTGATGATATCAGAGTAAAACAGGAAGTTGCCATGACTTCTTAGTGTACGAGAAATAAATTCTGGACTGCTCCTGTTACTAGCTTAGGATGTGTCCAAAATGCTGCTGCGTTTTCCCTGTCGATGTTGAATTAGGCGCAGCAGCACTTGCTGGTGCAGACTCTGCAACCCTGCAGGCTCACAGATCGTAAACAATGACTGTGTCCCTCTTCGACCTTTTTAAAAGGAGAAAAACGGACAACTACCCAGCAGGCTGAGAAGGAAATCTGTTTTAATGTGACCTGAATATTTTTTGTAATTATTGACTGTAAAGTTCTGATATCTGCTTGTTGAAGCCAGAAACAGCCCTGTACCAACCTCTATCACAAGAGGAAGATTAAAGACGTGCTCTTCCTTGCTCTGATTTAGTGATTAAACTAAGGGTTTTTAATGGTGTTTTATGTTTTATAATGCAGAAAATACATTTTGTGGCAAAGTGAGTTATTGATAGAGGGTTCAACATGTTTGTTGCCTGTGCAGGTATTTTTTATTTGAGTCCAGATTAAAGAGCTAAAACAAGACAAAATGTGTGAGCAGATATATATTCTCAAGTCAAGTTACACCCAAGCCCCCACAATGCGGCTCAGAAATTGGTCTCAACCATCGACATATATACCGGGTCTCAATCCGGAAGTACCAAAAATTGCAGTTCCACCCTCATCCACTAGGGGCTGGTGTCAGAAGCGAGCAAATCCTCATTGACTCCCATGTTAAAAATACCAATTTCACAGCAGAAATAAACATGTTTACAGCATGGTACCAACACATGTTTTTTGTCTAAATGATCTAGTTTACACTCATGACAACTCTGAGGGGGGTGATTTTTTTCTCACTCTTCTGTTTAAGTGTATTGAAAGCCTAAAATTCTGTATAATTAATGAGCATCCGACACACGTGACCACAGAGCTAGCTCCGTGGAAAGACCTCAGTAGAGCCTCGGTCTCTCCTGGAAACTGTTTCGGGATTTTGAGTCTCTGTGTGTGTGTATTCTTTTTTGGATATTATTGGGGCAATTGTCGGACAAAATGACTTGCTGTGGTATTAATTGCATTAATAGAGCATCCAAGGAGTCTCCACTTCATTTTTTTCGGTAAGTTAAATTAAATGTATGTATTTTAGGTCACTGCCGCCTTTAAACTAGCTGAGTTTATTGAAGTAGCTAGCTAACTATCATTTTAACATGTAGCATGTACTGTTTAACCATGAAATGTAGATGTAAAATACG